GGATCTCCCCTATAAAAGCTAAGTTCACAGCAGTCGCCCTTGATTCTGCTACGATCAAATCGTTCGGCACGGCTCACCAGAATCAACCACTCTAGCAAATTTGGCATGCGCACCATTTTTCCCTGGTATGTTTTACTTAAAAACTTCATTTTGCTTAGCTTTTGTTAATCACATAGTAGAAGCATTCACCCCCATTTGTCTTTTTCTTTCTCCATTTGGCTTATTATTCATTTGGTTTATTACACATACACGCCATGCTACCATGCATATTACTTCACCTCTTAACTTGCACTCAATTTGGTTTATTTTTTCTCCATTTAACTTATTACTTGAACACATGCATCCCATGCATTTTACTTCTCCATTTGGCTTAGTATTCCTCCCAACTCAATAAAAGTACTATTCAGCAAAAAACAATGTTTACCTTCAATCAATTTACAACGACTCGGCCATAAGGTCCAATACATTGATTTTCAACTACAAGCCAGTCACGCCGACTCGATCACAAGCTCTATACAAACTCCACTTGGCATACACCGTTTAATCATCAACAGGAGCCGAGCCAAGTGGGAGGTACACATTGCCATCTCTAAGTGATTCGATAGAGGGCTACGATTCACACATTCTTACACCTACGGAAGGAACAACATACTCTCCAGGATACTCAACCTCCCCACTCAAGTGGGTCGAACGAACATCCATATTTCTCCCAACTCACGTTGGTCGAGCAAGCTTCTCCCAACTCAGGTTGGTCGACATTCACCTCTTAACTCAGGTTGGTCGACATTTATCTCCCAACTCAGGTTAGTCGAGTAAACTTTGAGTAAACCTCTCTCAACTCAGGTTGGGCGAGAAACTTCTCCTAACTCAGGTTGGTCTAACAAACTTCTCCCAACTCAGGTTGGTCGAACATTCACCTCCCAACTAAGGTTTGTCGAGTAAAATTCTCCCAATTCAGGTTGGTTGAGCAAACTTCTCCCAACTCAGGTTGGTCGAGCATTCACCTCCCAACTTAGGTTGGTTGAGTGAACCTCTCCCAACTCAGGTTGGTCGAGCAAACTTCTCTCAACTCAGGTTGGTCAAGCAAACTCCTCCCAACTCAAGTTGGTCGAACAAATACCTCCCAACTTAGGTTGGTCGAACAAACTCCTCCCAACTCAGGTTGGTCGAGTGAACTTTCTCCAAATAACGGTCCATCTGACCTAACGAGCTGCTAGCACTAATCTGCCCAGTCAGCACTCATTCAATTAAATTTACTCTCTAAGCTAAACACTCATTAACTTAGACAGTGGGGGGCTAACTATTAGGGCCAAAAATTATCTTGAGCCTGACAAGGCCCAATAACGAAATAAACATGTCACGGCCTAAGGCCCCAGCCCAATCCCGATTGGGCCTACGCTTAAAATCACCTTGTGAACTACCCATTCTATGAGTTGGGCTATCCTATAAGTTAAGCTAAATTGAGTTTCAACCCATTAGCCTACAATAATCCATAAATAGGAAAACAGAATCCCATTCTATCTCCTCTTCTACTAAGATTCCAAATCTTACTCAAACTATTAAACTAAATCTGATAAAGTCAAGAAATCCTATTTCTTTCTTGATAGGGATTATCTCTCAAAATATGACTTAGTGTCCTACTAGGATTCCAACCCCTTGTGTTCACTATATAAACAAAGGTCCGCCTTCTTATAAAGGAGGAATCTCCCATAGTCAATCTAGACTACTCAAAACCATCTATTTGCTCCTATAGTTCTTGTTCTCAAGAACTCGACGCCTCTGTCATAGTCTTAGCCTCCGACAAGACTCCTGGTAATCCTTCTTTTCCTTAATCTTATCAAATAATCTCTTTCAGTCTTGCTGACTTGAGCGTCAGAGTGCCTATGGCAAACACTACCCCAATGTTTTTCGTAAGCTTCACACTTGTTCTTTCATGTGTACAGGTCTAGTGGATTGTCAGTGGCTTTAACCTCACGAGATCATACCCTATTTTCATGACGGTAGATTTTTTGCATCTACAAGTTTCACATTAGATGATTAAAGTGGGGTCCTGAGCTTTTTTATTGAATTAAGAGTAATGTGCTCTGAGTCCCACTGTTTATGGTAAGTAAGAGATAAAAATACAACAATATCTTAACAATAAGTTGAAATATCAATATTAATCTTCTATGTAATTAAATTATATACGTATACGCCCATCAATAGAAAATTGTAGTACCAAGACAACTCAAATGTATCACAAGTAATGTTTAAATTATCATGAAGACTTTACTAAGAATTTACTCGAAATTTTATCAACAATACAATTACATAACAGATTAATTCAAGTTTATGATTATACCATATAATTATATAAATGTGAGCAAAAGAGAATATACCATATAAATAATCTCATATTGCTATCTGCTAGTGCGAAAGTTTCATAAACCACAAGTGTATAACACATGATATTTCTTAATAAACAGAAGAAAAAGAGTATTATGATGCAATTTCATATTGAGAGATTTTCATAAAATACCTTGAGGTTTAGTTAATAGTCAAATTTATGGTATTTTTCAGTGTTTTAAAACCCCGCTCGACATGAAATCTAGTAAAGTGACCGGGTCTCAGTTTGACCGACAGTTAAACCGATGTCCAAAGGTTTGAAATCTAACAAAAATACCTCTAAATTTTTTGAAGTCCCCATAGGTTTGAAATATTGCAAAAACACCCCAAACACCACTGTCAACGTCGGCAAATAGAGCCTATTCCCGGCGATGACAACACTCTTCATCACTACGAAAACACTCTCCTCAATCTCCTGACCAAAACTCATCTCACCCCTCCCTGGTTTGCCTCCCCAATCACCAACAATAGTGGGATTTTTTCGGCGATATATTTTTGGGATTTCTGGTCGATTCACTTAGCGAAAATCACCGCCATTGCCACTATTGCACTCATCATCCATTCCTCTTCAAAAGCCTTAACATTACATCCTTCAATTTTTCACAGATTGATGTCCTAATTTCTAAGGTTTTCAATGAATAAGAAAATTTGTAACTCGACCTGGTGAAGGCCTTAGGTCCTGTTGAAGGTTCACCGGCCGAGTCAGACCAGGTTTTAAAACACTAGTATTTTTACAAGATATCATTAAAAAAAACAAAAAAAAACAATCCTTAAACCTAAAAGTCTTATAAGACTATTAAATCAAAAAGTTGAAATTTATGTAAACTTACTAATTTATCCTCAATTTTTGTAAAATATGTGAGATTAAATGCCTCAGATATCCTTGAACGTTAACTTTCTTTTGATGAAATTAGAGTTTGAGGGTAGTTTTGAAACATCAACATATTCCAAATAGTTGACCAACCATACAAAAATCACCAAATCGAACCCTATCCACACATTCAATTCAACACTCCAAAGTCAACCGAAGTCAATTTTAGTAACCTTTTTGATCCCTAAGCTTTGGTCCCAACCAAAAAAAATACGAGCACTTTTTACTCCAAATTTCCTCTCTAATTTTTCAAAAATTCTCACCTCATCTTCTTTCCAAAAATAAAAATAAAATAATATAAAAATAAAAATAAAAATTCCAACCATTCTTTTGCTACAAAAACCCAGGTGCAAAAATAGTATATTCCTCAAGTACAATTTCACCATCACAATCTCACAATCTAAAAATTCAAAAGGACCCCACTCCCAATTAGCCTGATCCAACGCTTGCGATCTACGCTTCATAAAGAAACCAACGGTCCTGATTTCATCTGCTCTATACTTCTCCCTACTCTCCCCCTAAATTTTCTCGGGACCCACTTGTTTTTTTTTTTGCCCCTTTCTCTCTCTGTCCGAAGAATCTCTTTAGTAACTATGTACTTTCTCTCTCTATAAAAAAACCCTTTTTTAGTTTCTCTCTCTACAATACGATCTCGTTTCGTGCTCGATCGGTCAATGCCGGTACGTTTTGTGTAATTTTAGCTTCGAATTTTTCAATTGTTGGGTTTTCGACTTGATTTTAGGGTTTAATTTCGGGTGAATTTTGCAAAACCCTAATTCGTTGCTCGAATTAGGGTTTTGAAGTACAGAGAAGTTTGGGGATTGCTTGTTCGTAAGTAAGAAGCATTATACGGATTGGGCTTATGGGAATTTTGCATTCTTTTGTCGTTTTGTATTGTATATCGCGATTTTTCGAATTCTGAATTTTGTTTTGTTTTGATATTCTGCTTTGAACTTTAGTAGTTTTGTTTGCTTAAATGCTGTTTGGAGGTTTAATTTTAGGGGGTTTCTCGATTTGTGCTAATGTTGTAGATAATTGTTTTGAAGTTAAGCCTTAAGGCTCGTTTGATTGCTGGGATTCGCTTTTATGTTTGACAATTTTTTAATTTGAGAATGTTGAGAATTATTTTAATTAGTTTGAAGATATGTCGATTTATTTGGAATCAGAGAAGGAAAATTTTGGTTAATGCTAGTTTTAGCTTAATTAAAGTAACTTTTTGAAAGCTCAATGATATGGCTAAACTTTTGTTCTCTTTTGTTGTACAGTTTTATTGTACTTGCAAACATTTAGCGCTTATTATGTTGGGTGAAATTTTCTGACATATTGAGTTGAAGAAAGACATATTAATAAGCAAGTATTGACACTAATTTTGGCATATGGGTACTTTTAGTTGTGGTCTATATGTTGAAATTTTGCTCCATGTTTGACGGATTTGCTGTGTTGGAGTCACTAAAATGTTTTTTTTTTTTTTTTTTGTTTTTTAATTAAACCTTTTTGTAGATATGTGTTGAATTAGAGTTATGGCGGGAAATGTGAGATTTGAGTCTAGTTCAGCTAGTCCGGAAGATTTGGCATCTTCAGGGAACTATCCAAATGGACAGCGGGGGATTTATTCATTGGATAGGTCTGGAAGCTTCCTGGAGGGGAGTGAGAGCCGAATGTTTAGTTCTGTGAGCAGTATGTCTCGAGGGATGGCTACACCAACAGGGGATGTTCTGTCATTATCTCAGTGGTTAACATTGGATCCTATCACAATGGGTGATCAAAAGTATACACGGTTAGGTGATCTGATAAGGAAAGCGTTGGGGCCGTCTCTTGGGACCACTGCAGAAGAAAATGCTTTTGGAGCTGCTCATGCAAAGCCTCCCCTTGCGGTAGCTACCGAGGAATTAAAACGGTTTAAAGCAAACGTGTTGGATGGCTCTAATAAGGCCCGGTAATTATAATGCTGCTTACAATATACCAGTTGACCCTTGAATTTGTCTTATTAGTGTTTCTACATAACATGTGAACCTGGCATATACTTTTCTGTTTTCTGGTTATCTTCTATCACGTATGAGTACGAGACAGTTCAAACAATTATATGTCAATGAAGATCAATCTTACTGTTAGCATTCACCTGTGGACGTGTGCCAAAAATAAGTATTTTTTTTTTAATCTTGGTATTGAGTCAGATAGAAATTGTACATGTTTTATAAATTACGTTAAGGGCTTCAGTTTTTTTTTTTTTCCTTTCTTTTTGGTTCTCTTGTATTTTTGCCATGTACAGGTTGTACCAAACTTTTTTTGGCCTTCCTAAAAGAGTTGATTATTGTTCAAAAGTAAATGGACAAAAATTGTACGTTTGATTTAGAGATTTGTTGCCATTTTGAAAAATCATTCTCAGCTAAAATGCATCGTTTTTTGTATCAGGAGTAGGGCAAAAAAGATTGAAGAATCCTTGCACAATCTGAACAAGTTTGTTGAGGCTTTAAATCCAAAGAAGTTACCGCGGAGTGAGATGCTAACAAATGAAAGACCTGGTGGAACGAATATGTTAAAGATGGGAGCTTTGATGCAACGAAAATCTCCTGACCTTTTGCCTCAAAGACTGGAGGACAGAACTAAAAGTGTAGGTCTGAATAAAAGAGTTCGCACTTCAGTAGCTGAAACAAGGGTTCGTATATCAAAATTTATTTGATATATTTTTTTATTCTAATTAACAATGTTATCTTTCATATTCTATCTTATTTCTTCTTTATCTTATCGGGAGGATCAGTCGACTTTTTATTTTCTCGCTAGTTTTGTATGAAATTCAATAAATCTCTCTCCCTCTCTCTCCCTCTTCTTGTGCATGTTACCTTGTTGGTTTTGATATAGTGTTTTGAGGTTTTTTGCATGCATAAATCTGCACCTGCCTAGAGTGTAACTTTTTTTTTTTGGGTAAACTAGAGTGTAACTTTTAATTGAGAAGAAACTGAAATACAAAAATGGAAAAGGAGCTAGAAAAAGCCAATATATAAGTGTGGTAATTTATACCTCTAGGTCAAGAGAGAAACGAAAATAGAGCAACTAATTAGCATGAGAGATCCTCCGAATTTTCTTCACACTCCTTTTTGCCATAAAATCTGCTAGTTGGTGAACCTGAAAATTAAGATATCTTGATTATTCATTTTCCACTGAGGTCCTTGTCCTCTATATCACAAGTAGTTCCTGAAAGAGTGAAAACCCCTATACAGCTATTTCAAAACATCACAAACCTTAGTGAGCGTGATTTATTTGGATGCTTTAAACCATCAAAGAACTTAATGAGTGTGATCTTTATGAGACGTAATATCGCTTCATTGTTGCTTTGACTCTATATCTATCACACTTTCTTTTTCTTTTCTTAAATTTTATTTCTGGTATCTTGAAAAGTCTTTGATTGCTTAACGAATCGTGATATCTTGTAAAATGCCATGATTTTTTATCACTAAAATATTTTAATTTATATGTGCGATTTCTCTCTTTTCTTCAAACTTCTCCAGGCTGACCGAAGTAATGTTCCTGCAAGGCAGACTCTAGTCATGATAAAAGATAGAGACATGCTGAAAGATGGTGGTGAAAATTCTGATGTGGTTGAAGAAAAGATCCGTAGACTGCCTGCTGGAGAAGGGTGGGAAAAAAAAATGAAAAGGAAGCGTTCAGTTGGCACTGTTTTCACCAGACCTATGGATGGTGATGGAGATCTTAAACGGGTAATGCATCATAAAGTTAACAATGAATCTGGTCTGCCGTCCTGTGATGCCCAAGGCTTTAGGTAATTGAATACATGTCTATTTAATGTAAATGATGAGAAATTGATCTTGATTTTGCACTGGTGATGGATTTTGAGAGCTATGAATATTTTCTGGTTATAGTTATTATTATCTTCTTTTAGATAATTATCTGGCACTTTCTGGAGCATTATAGTTTATTTGGACATACATGTAAGATTAATTAGGATGTGTATGATAGATGTAGCCTCATGTACGTAAGAGCTAAACCTAAACCACTGCACAGTATGTATTCAGTTTGAGTGCTAAAAAAAAAATGTAAGCCTCAGAATTGTTTGCATATCACTGCTATCTTGGTTATTTTAAAGATATGTTTGAAAGGATAAAATTAAGGACCAATAAGCTGACTTGCTTTCATCTTGATTCCCTTCCCCCTTCTCTGCCCCATAAACAGGAAAATTGATCAAAACAAAATTTTGAATGCCATATATCAGTTTTTGTCCAGTTTATTAATATCTAATTCCCTAAAAGGAACTGTTATTAGAGTAAGCATGTATTTAGTTGAAGTAAAATAGCTTGGTTCTGAGTTATTAGAATTCAGTATATATAAATATAGTAATTCTGTTTGTTCTTTCTGGATGCTATCTCTTTGTTCTTTCTCTTTGATCCATTGCTTGTTTCACCTCTTTGGAGTCTTGTTTTGTATGTGCTAAAAGATGAAACATAATATGTTCTTGGAACTTTCTTTTTCACAGACCAGGATCTTCTGTTGGTGCCAATGGCATTAATAAGTTAGATAATACTTCCTTGCCTGCTGGTTCAAATGTCCGTGCAATTCCCAAGAGTGATTTGGAGAAGGTTTCTCTTTCAAGGGATTTTATGGCTGGCTCAAATAAGGAGCACATCAAAGGAAACAAGTATGTTTTAATGTGTATAATCAGTTGTGCAATTCTTGGTGCCAGACTTACAGATACTTGATTTGTGGCTTTGGTGCAAGTCCCCTTGATTTACCTTTTGTTATGTGCTAATTTCATGTTTTCCTGTTTGTTTTGTGTGTAATTTTCTTATTCAGGTTAAATATACGTGAGGATAGTCATTTAGTCAGTACTGGTCCATTGACAAAAGGAAAGGCCTCAAGGCCACCTCGAACTTGTCCTGTAATGGCAGCAAAATCTTCTCCTAATATTCCTCGTCCATCTGGAGCAGATGGCTGGGAACAACCTCCAAGTATAAACAAAATTAATTCTGTGGGTGGGGCTAGTAATCGCAAGCGTCCTTTGTCTGCAGGATCATCCTCTCCCCCTATAACTCAGTGGGGTGGTCAGAGGCCACAAAAGACCTCACGCAGCCGAAGAGCCAATTTGGTTTCTCCTGTCTCAAACCTTGATGAAAGCCAAACATCTTCAGAGGGTTGTACGCCTTCTGATTTAGGTGCTAGAACACCTACTATTGGGAGCAATGGATTGCTTATTGCCAGAGGCATGTCTAATGGCACCCCACAATATAAGGTGAAGCAGGAGATTGTTTCATCCCCTGCCAGATTATCTGAAAGTGAAGAATCTGGTGCTGGGGAAAATCGTGAAGGTAGGTTAAAGGAAAAAGGAATAGGTAGCAGTGAAGTAGAGGAAAGAACCACTAGTGTTCATAGTGGTGGTCCATCCTTGTTGCTTACAAAGAAGAACAAAGCACTGAACAAGGAAGAGATTGGAGATGGTGTGCGTAGACAAGGTAGGAGTGGACGAGGCTCATCGTATTCTAGGGCTAGCATTTCACCACTGAGGGAAAAGTTGGAAAATTCATCCTCATCAAAGCCACTTAAAAGTTCAAGGCCTGGTTCTGATAAGAACGGAAGGTGTAACATATATTTCTTAGTAGTAGGATGAAAGTTCTGCTTTTTTGCTTTTTTTCTTTTCCCCATGACCCTTGTTTTTGTCTTTCCTTTATTTAATCTTTTAATTTTTTTCAGCAAGTCAGGGCGTCCTCCACTAAAGAAAGTGTCAGAACGCAAGGTCTTTACTCGTCTAGGTCATACATCAATGGCTGTTTCCCCAGATTTGTCTGGTAACATCTCAAATTAATATAATAAATAGAATGAATTCAGAGTTGACTCTTGATCTGATAGTGATATTTGAATAAAAATTATGTTTGAGAGATATAAGAATGCACTACAACTTCCAACGTTTTCTAATAATTAAGCATGCCTCTTTTATTAATTTCTCCGGTAATTTGCAAATTCTTTTATTATGCATATGTATTACAGACACTGCAGAAATATCTATGTTTATCCATATGCACTGGATATATATGTTGCTTGCCATCAGGATTAAGTTTGCTATTCTTTGTTACTTAGTTCCCAATGTATTGTGTATGATACAATATATGGTTCCTTTTAATAGATAAAGTGCAGATCATAATATTTACTGCCCTTGCTGAAGTTTTGCGCTCTAGTAACGTACTTTTGCATTTTGTATTCTAGGTGATTCAGATGATGATCGTGAAGATCTCTTGGCAGCTGCAAATTTTGCTTGTAATTCCAGCTGTACGTCTGACCTTAATTTTATGTTCCTGCCATGCACAAACATGCATAATATGTATTGTGTGTGTCTCAGCATGTTTCTCTCTCTCATTTCCTTTCTAAATAGGGACATTTTTATTAAAAGAAATGCTTACTTTTGTAGATCTTGCCTGTTCTGGTTCATTCTGGAAGAAAATGGAACCGATGTTTGCTTCAATCAGCTTAGAGGATGTATCCTACTTGAAGCAACAGGTGGTAACTGTAGTCTGTAGTTAACAAATATTCTGGCCGTAGTTGAGTTAATTCTTTATTGTTGTAATGATACTCCCTTCTATTCTTCTATCTTGTCTTCTTGGATTAGCTGACATCTACATATGAGCATCATGAAAGCTTATTAATGTCTAAGAGCATATATTTACTTTCTGACAGCACCTCTATATGGTTTTGGACTGTTATCTTGCCATACTGATTATTATGTTTCTTTGTAATGTTACCTGGCTATGGATTTTAACAAGTCAACTTTATTGAATTGTTTATGCTCTTAGCATTTTCTGTAACCAAAGTCCATTTTATAAGGGAAGTTGATACATATGTATGGGTATTTCACCACAGGTTTCAGCTTGAAATAACATCATTTTTATGAATTCCCTTTAATGGCTATTACATGCGATGACAATGAGGGACAAGATGCTGTGTAGAGTACAATGGGATTATTTGCGTGAACCATGACATTGCTTTAATTAATTCATACTTCTTACTTCCTGAAGCTTGGATGATCTTTTCTATCCACTTTTACTTGAACAATCTTTCTTATTGACCTTTTTGTTTCTTCTTCTACAATTCTTTCCTTTTTGGTGTCATGAACTTGTATTATTAGTGAATCTTTTCCCAGCTATCATTTGTTTACTTGGCTGTTTTTCTGTTTGATTTTACACCTAGATGCTTTTTTAAGGATTCATTTTCCTTCCATGTGCTCATCTCTGATCCAAATTTTTTGTTTGCATCTCATTTTTGGGTGGTCTTAATCCACAAAACTTAAATCAAAATAAAATAGAAACACTTGCAGAATGTCTGGAGTTTTTGTATGGATTAATGGTACTTCATGTAGTAGTTCTGAAGTCATAACTTTTTGACAGGGTGATCTTGTGCATGAAGATTTTCTGTCTCAGATTCTTGTTTCTGGTGAAAAAGACAGAAGCCTGCAAGGTCAGATTCAGTCAAAAGAGTCGACTAGGATTCCTGATCTGGGTGATCAAGTTCAGGACAATGGTTTCTTTTGTGGAACAACGGACTCCGAGAGTAGGAATGAAGATACTCCATTGTATCAAAGAGTGCTTTCAGCTCTGATTGTGGAAGATGAAATTGAAGAATTTCCAGATAATAGTGGAGGGAGAAATATGTCTTTCCAATATAATCGGGATGATTCTCCTGGTGGTACATGTCTCCTTATTGATGCTGATTCTAGGAAGATGGATGGGATGGAAATTGAATATGACTCCATGGGGGGTCTTCAGGTTCAGAAGCAATCTTCTGTTGACCGATTGGCTTGCAATGGGACTGCTACCTTTAACAGGGGCAAAAACATCCAAAATAGATTGTATAATGATGATTTTGCAAATGGAGGGACTGGGCTCATGCATTCAGAGATTGGGATTTTGACTGAGTTTTCCGAAAATGGCGGTAATCGGCCACAAGCTCTACATACAAATGCTTTTGGCATTGATTCCTTTGATTGCCGATATGATGACATACCTCTGAGAGACAAACTTTTGCTGGAGCTGCAGAGTATTGGCCTGCATCTGGAAGCTGTGGTAAGCTTGTAGTGTAAAACAATGATGTGCATGGAAGCATTTAATTCTTTTTTCCAAGTCAAAGGGTTTTTAATATGGGTTAATTTTAGAACCCACCGCTAAGGTTTCAGAAATTTTCAGTTGGATGCTAAGTTTAGGCATATTCCTCAAAAACCACTCTTGAGGTTTGAAAAACAGACAAAACCACCCCAGAACCTATACTGTCCAAAACAAATTAACAGTGAAATGTTAAAATAAAATTCTCACATTATTTTTGAGGGGTAAAATTTTAATTTCCTGCTGACTTTTGTGAAAATCATTTTACATTTCAGTCAGTTTCTTCCTATCATCTACATCTCAAACCCTTTTTTCCACTAATCAACATCTCAAGCCACCTTGACATCATCCATCAGTCAACCTCAATGATGTGAATTGATGAAACGATGTAAGGTAGTGGTCGTGGTTCTTATAGGGTATGTTCTGCAAGCCTTTATGAAAAACGTTTTTTTTACTTCTTTATAATTTGAAAAGAAAATAAAAAAAATAATAATAAAGCAGGATAAAAACTACCATAACTAGATTGACGATGGTTGGATCAGTGGCGTGAGGTGCAGCAGTTGCATGTTGCCCGGCTGTGACTGATGCAGCTAAAGGATACTGCACCATGTGGGGTTAGGGTAAGGTCGGTAGGCTGTGAGGGTGGGGGAGGGAGTTCTTATAGGGTATGTTCTGCAAGCCTTTATGAAAAACTTTTTTTACTTTTAAATAATTTGAAAAGAAAATAAAAAAATAATAATAAAGCAGGATAAAAACTACCATAACTAGATTGACGATGGTTGGATCAGTGGCGTGAGGTGCAGCAGTTGCATGTTGCCCAGCTGTGACTGGGGCAGCCAAGGATACTGCACCATGTGGGGTTAGGGTAAGGTCTGTAGGCTGTGAGGGTGGGGGAGGGGGCTGGGATGGTGTCACTGTGAGTATGAGGATATATGCTGCCAGCGTGTTTTGCAGATCTAGGGTTTTTGAAGTGAAGAAAAGAGCGGGGGATAGGAGGAGGGAAGTAAAACGTAAAAAAAAGAAAGAAATGAATTTAAGATTGATGATAATAAGGGTATAACAGGCATTTAATATTTTATTAACGGATTTCGTTAGTAGGGGTAGATTTTGACCATTTTTCAGAACCTTAGGGCTTAGGGGTGGTTTTTGATGAATTTGCCTAAACTTAGCAACCAGTTGATAATTTTTGAAGCCTCAAGGGTGGTTTTTGAAAGTAACCCATTATGAAGTAGTTCCTCCGCCTTTCTATTTGTTTTCCCCTTAAATGAATGTTTATGTGTATAAGTTTCTCCTGCAGTAACTTTGATAATGTAAAAATCTGGACTTAAGCTTGTGTATGCAATTCACTTTTGCATGCAATAATTGCTAGATGTTTGTAAGATTTTGTCTTTCAGCGGCAAAAGAACACAAAATTTCGTGAACTTATATCAAGTCTTGCATGCAAGAATTAACTCTTGTATTTGAGAGTTTAAGTTCAGATTTAGGTCCAAACATGAGAATTTTTGTGTGTGTATGTGTGTGCACGCGTGTATGTGTATATATAAATTCATTTATTTTAAACTTTTAAAAAACAACAGTTAAAGGTTGTGTTACCAGATATCTGCATTTAAATCGAGTAGCGGAGTCAAACCACATGTCATTTTTATTTCTTTAATCCAATTCTCAATTATGGTTGCCATGCACAGCCTGATCTAGCAGATGGAGAGGAAGAAACAATTAATCAAGACATTGTTAAACTACAAAAGGGACTTCGCCAACAGGTTATTTTTCTTTTTATGTAGAATTTTCAATTTCATAGTGTTTGGCTAGACTTGTGGAAAGTCCATTTTATTATTGATGTGCTGCCAAAAGCATATTGTTTTTGAATCTTTTTTGAACAATTTTGAGTTATTTTCACTTGAACATTGTGTCAAATATTCTTTTTTGTATTTACTAAATGCTTTTTTCTTTTAGTTTTTAATTTTTTTTTTTTTTCTGGATTCCATAGATTGGTAAAAAGAAGGAACACCTAAACAAAATACTCAAAGCAATGGAGAAAGTCAAGGAAACAGAAGAACGGTAGGTTATTCATTATTGAATGAAAATTTTCATATATGACTCAAGCTTTGCAGGATGTATATTAGTCAACTATTGTTGAAGAATAAAATTATGTGGTTAATTTTGCAGGGGCCTTGAGCAGGTTGCAATGGACAGACTTGTTGAGTTGGCTTACAAAAAGAAGCTGGTAATTTTTCCTATCTCATTCTATCATGTGACTGAATGATTGTTAATTTATATGTATAATTGAGGTCTATCTTTAGTATCTCGCACATTATTTCTTAGCAGAGCACATGCGTGTGCATGTGTATTGGATTTTAGGTGTGGGAGGGGAAAATCAGGAAGGTTTTGATTTATTTTTTTTTTTTAAATCCATATGTTATATTAGTATATTTGACTGTGATTGATATTATGCTTTCAATGTTATATACTTGACTTTGACTTTTCTTTATTCATATTTTGTTATATAATTTAGTGTGGCTGATATTAATGCATATGATCTTTTTTCTTTCAAAAATATCCCAGTGTTTACTTCCTGCTGGTTTTGTCATGATACTTGATTTTCCGCATTGTATGAGGAATTTGGATTTAGTAGGATTTATTAGTGTGAAATATAAGATGCCTCTTTGAATAAAACTGGCAGGTCACCCGTGGAAGCAGTTCAAAAAGTGGGATCACCAAGGTTTCAAAACAAGTTGCTTCGGCTTTTATGAAGAGGGTTCTTGCAAGATGTCATAAATTTGAAGAAACTGGAAAAAGTTGTTTTGCTGAGCCTTCACTTCGAGATGTCATTTTTGCTGCTTCTAGAAATGTGCAGCCTGAAACTGTTAGCTCTCAACCAGTGCCTTCAGTGTCAGGTTTGCTATTTTACTTAACTGTTATGAAGATTTCAGGAAATGTATTAATGGTCTTAAAATGCGTTTGTGCTTTACAAACACATGTTTTTACAATTCATCTGCCATGGTGCTCCAAATATTCTTGACACTATAGGCTTTGGTATCTGGTTAGGGGTCAAGTCATATGGGTAAAATTCGGTGCATTCTGATGTTTTTCTTCAAATCACTTATTTTTTGCAGGCTCTTTCCATGGTAAGAATTTCCATGGTGATAAAGTTGACGGGGGTTCATTTGACTCATTTGAAACTCATGTACACCCCATGGACCAAGATTTTGTCAAAACTGGACCAATATTCAACAGAGGGAGGAAGAAGGAAGTGCTACTTGATGATGTTGGTGGCAGTGCTTCCCTGAGAGCTGCATCAGCTCTCGGCAATACTTTATCAGCTGGTGCAAAGGGGAAGAGAAGTGAAAGAGAAAGGGACAAAGATACTTCAGTCAGAAATTCTGTTGCAAAATCTGGCCGTGCATCGATGAGTAATTTTAAGGGTGAGCGTAAAATGAAATCAAAGCCTAAGCAGAAGACAGCTCAGCTGCCAACATCAGGAAATGGATTTGTTGATAAGTTTATAGAACCTGGTCATTCTGTGTACTCTGCTTCTAATGTTTCTAAGGAAGGGGTTAATGGTGGTGGCAATAAGAAGAGAGAACTTGGATTGATCTCTCATGATAATGTTACACAAAATTCTACTGAAGTAAAGGAACAATTTGACTTGATAGAAGAACTTGGTGGCGTAAATGACCTGAATGATCACCAAGATCTAAGTACTTTATTCAATAATTTGAATGCAGACGACTTACAAGACCAAGACTTAATGGGTCTTCAAATACCTATGGATGACCTCTCGGAGTTAACTTTGTTTTGATGAAGACAGTATACTGTACATTCCCATGGTTTATTCAACTGTTTAGATAAGAATGATAGTGCTCTTGTCAGGGGACAAACTGCTAATATATTTATGCCTCTGGCAAATTGGCATTTGTAATTATATCCATTCTTTTTGTATACTTCTCTAAAGAAGTTACAGAGATACTCCTAATTGTTTGTAATTTAGACAATTTGTCCCCTTGTAACAAATCTCAGCTTCCTCATAGGGCCTTTTTGTTTTTTTCTTACCATGTCTTTACAGTTCTGTTGAGTTCTTAATTACCTAGGAATTTATTTTTCTTACTGGAACTACTTGTCAGTGCACTTTGGTGTTTTATGTTTCTCCATTAACCATGACATATTGTGTTGCATTTTTATTTTCATGTTTACTCATTACTTTACAACTGTTTTTCATATGTAATTGAGTTTTCTCACTACTGCTGCCTTACATTAGATTGACAAATTGCAGGATGTGTGTGTTTGATTCATTTGTGAGTTGATTGCCTGACTCCTGTAACAAAGTATCAATTTTAGTCAATAAGGATTTTGAGCTGATCTGAATGTTATAATGACCTTTTCAACTTTGTTTGTTATGTTGGTTATAATATGTTCTGTAGGCGGCGATTTGTTGCTTCATTTTTATTGATGTAATCTCTTTATTGTTGTTTATTTGTTGTTAAGGTGGTACTAAACTTATTCTGGTCTTTTGATAAATATCTGTATATGGTTCAGCATATTTTTGTGAACTCCTTGATCAATATGAGGCTTTAGATTAATTTACTCTACTTCCTCATACAACTGTATCTAGCATAATTATTGAACCACTGAAATGGGTTTATCATATTTGTCTTGTTCTCTGGGAAGATCAATCGTTTGGGATTCATCTTATTGCTTTCTGGTCTTGGAGTCTGTGCCTGCTCGCTTTCCATGCCCCTTTCAAGTTGAAGCCTATGGCTTGGAAAGGAATCTCATAAGGTATGTTATCCCTTATATTTTGTAATAGATCTTTGTGCTTCATTCTGTAGAATACCTCATTCTTTACTGGCTTTCTTGCAACTTGGAAAAGGGTAGTAAGATTTAAAATAGTTATCGAGTGTTTAAATTTGTTTTGTTGTCACTATAGCTGCTAGTTACCAGAGGAGGGTGTTTCTACTTAAAGAAATTCATGAATAATCCTCTTTTGAAGTTTGATAGATCTGACATTATCTATAGTTCTGACAGTTGTCTTCACTTAATTCTTTACAGGTGGGTGATTTGATTTACTAATGGTAGCATCTTTTCAGTGACATTGATCACCTTGAGTATTTGTAGTATATAATTTGGTGTAGTAATTTTTCATTTGCATTTGTACTGTTACATTTTGTTGTGATAGAGACATTGATGTGCTGTATTTATTTTATTCTTGGGAAGTTTGGGCCTGGTAATGTCTCCAGCACATATTGGCTGGAAGAATTTGATACTGGTGTTCATTTGATGTTGCTTTTATGAATCTTGTCTGATTACGAGTCTACAAGACTCCTGGCACCTTTGTTGCTCAGTGGAGGAACTGCTGCAGTATGGCACCTTTTGTTTTCTGCATTATTCCTTTTTTCATGTTTAGATTGGATAGTATTCTTCTGCATTGTCCTATATCACGCATTCTGTGGTTTCTGTGTCATTTTGTTGTAGTAGGATTGTCGTTCAAGGTGTAAGGCCCCTTATGTTTCTTGCATTGTAATTAGGTGTGACAGTGACAGTGCTCCTGCTCCTGCTCCTGCTACTGTTGATAGTTGATATAGATATGTTTGCTTGAGTCAAGTAAACATTTTGTTTGAAGTCATTGATTTCTAGCCTATGTATATTATTCATTTGAATACTCTTTAAATGTGGTCAATTTCAACATAGACAAGTCATAGTCTTATTTAGTGTAAGCACTGTTTCATTTCCTTCTTGCTTTCTTTTTAGAGTAATACTACACATTTAATATTTACATACAACATTTCTCATATAATATTATGTGGCAAAATATGATTGGCTGATTTTAAATTAAAATTAAATTTTCACCCAATCATTTTTTGCCACATAATGTTGCATGAGAAATGTTATATGTGTAGTATTATTCTTCTTTTTATCTATTGTCTGTTGCTAGATATTTCTTGGATAGATTGATATATTTGCGGCTGGTTAAGCATTGCAAAGAGGTGGAGATCTTTTTAAGTTTTTAATGTCAGCATTCTAGAGGTTGACAAAGTCTTATGAAAGGAGTATTTCCAGGTGCTCCCTGCTGGGACGAACAGTAAATTTATTTTTCTGCAGTTTGGGTGGTTTGAGTTGATTAATTTGTTTTCTGCTAATCCTTTTCTCTGATTGTCGGAAATCTGTGTCATGCTCAATTGCACCTATTCTTGGTATGCATATTGTGAATCTGTGTGGAAGTTGATGATGGCAATACTGTAGCTCTATCATATTTCTGTTGGTGGCTGATCCTAAAGCTACAAGTATAAATTAGACCTGAAGTCCAGATCATAGGCTGAAACAACTTGGAGTTTTTCGATTTCTACAAAGGAAAGGCCTAGTAACTTTAAGAAGATAACCAAGAGTGTTGAAGGTAATATTGTTGGTGTGCATTATGTTTCTTAGGAGAAATTATGTAAGTTATGGTGCACCACTGTTTGAACAATGGAGAACTCTTTTACTGTAAGTTGATGGCATATAAACCAGGAACAGTATGTGTTATGTTCTGGAAAATGTGAAAACTATCGATAACCTACTACTAGATTGTGGCACAAGTAGTTTAGGAAGTTAAGACATAGCTGGTTATTTTGGCTTCATGTAGGTCTTTTTATCACAGAATACTTGAACATAGCTGGTAGTTGAGACAGCTAAGTTCTTTGTAAATGTGCTACTTATTGTGGTTTTTTCGGTGATATGGTTGAGGAATTGGATTTGAGAAGGTTCAGAGGGGAAAGCTTCTGGTGGGATTAAGCACTTATTTTTGGGAGGAAATTGTGGGGTATTTACTGTTCTCAGAGAGTTGTTTGGTGTAGGCAGGCTTGTTTCCAGTAGATTGGAGCTTTTTAAGTATAATCTTTAATCAACGTTGTCTTTCATGCCTTAAAATATGTTCAACTGGAGATTCTGCGAAGACATTGGGCATTCTGTGAGTTTTATTCAATCTTTGATAAAATCTGGTGACTGAAATTGGTATGGCTGATGCATAGAGAGAGAATATTATAGTCAATTCAGTAATGTCCATTAACTGCATATTAACTACCACTTTGACTGATGGTTTTAAAAATTAATATATAAAAGATTTCTTTTACTAACCTATGAATGATGTAATAAACTTGTCCTTGCCAAAACTCTCTCCTTCAAGCTGATTATAAGAAATATACATTAGGATTCGAGAGCTCAGAGGAAGAACTGTATGAAGTTGGTGATTTCAATAAAAAAAATGGTATCTTAAATATTGAGTCCTAATAACTATCTGGTGACATGATGGTAGAAGAGTAAAAAGGAGTTCTATAAATTTCTAAGTTTGAGTTCTCTTAGATACTAATAGGGATGATCATTGAGGTTTTTATCACAATTTCAAGACTTTGAAGGAATAAAGGTGTGCGTAAACTGGTCCGAACAATCCCTGTAATTAAAAAAAAAAATGTTGAGTCCTAATACAATTATATTAGGAAAAAAACAAAAAAGGATTATTTCAACCCCAAAATATTCAATACATAACCCGCAACTTCCGTCATGAATGGATAGCAACGGACGTAATCCAATATTTTATTATTTTGACAACCGACGTAATTACTCATCAATTATCATAAAATTCATCTTTTAATTAATGAATTGACTTATTATTTTCACTCACCCAATCATTTTGAGCTCAGTCGCTTTTTATTCATCATCAATATAGTCATCAACAGTTTTGATGTACTTGGCAATCCTGTGTTATCTCAGAATTCTTAGTCAAGAATGTTCTTTATTTGTTTTGTGACATCTACAACTGCCATGGATGCCAAAAACCTTTATAAAACTGAAAATGGCTTTCAGCAATTTATATATGAAATTAAGCTGTTTTGCAGCAACATTTACAAGGGATTGTGTCAAGTTTTTGCAATGAGCAAAACATTTACAAGGGATTGTGTCAAGTTTTTGCAATGAGCAAAACATTTACAGTTCTCCTACTTCTGTGTTTGCAAGAGTTACCTTTTACAATACACTTAGTTATTCCTGCTTCTTTATGGGACGACGGAATGCCAGTCGCCCAGTCCTGAACCAGCCACACTCCAGTTGGCCAGCAGAGCTCTGCATAGAAGCCATGGAACCAGATATTTTGACAGATCCGGACATTTAAGAATACCAATTGAAATGTTTTTTATTTTACTTTGTCTATATTACAATCACAATGTCCATTTTTGTCCCTTTTGTAATCCCCTTCCGTTTCAACATGTCGTGTAAGCATCTGGTATCCCATTTGCATTCTGTAAGAGTGATACAAGTTGTTCTACTGTTCGCATGACAAAAGGTGCATTTGGAAGATGAAGATCCTCATTATAGTTCTCTTCATTAAAATCTATCCTTGCTAGTGTTCTCTTGTAATTTTCAGTGGCTGATCTTGGGTGACCTTTCGCAATAGATACCTGCAATAACATAAACCGTTTGCATTCACATCCAATTAGAAATTATATGAAGGTTCAAAATCATCATTATAACCAGTTTTGTTTATTCCGTGAACAGTGATGACACTGAGGGGGCGTTTGGTTCAGGAATGTTAGATTACTGGGAATATTGGATTACTGGAAAGATAGATTACCTTGGAAGATTACTGGGAATCTTTAAGAAAATATGTTTGGTTAGTTGGTAGGTATGTTATATTAATATGTTTGGTTATGGGAATAAATTGGTGGGTATGTTATTTAAATTACTAAATTGACCCTCTTTTAAATATTAATATAATATTATTTTTATTATTAATTTTTGAATAATTTTTTAACCCCCAATATTTCAGATTTAGCTAAAACACCCCCGCTTATAAAAAAACTTTAATTCATGACGAAATCACCCCCACCTCCTGCCGCCGCCTGCCGCCACCGCGAACAACCGCCGGAAAATCGCCGAAGCTCCTAAAAAAGAAGGAAATTCTGCGGGAGGCTCCGGAAGACTTCGTTATGGCCGTTTCCGGCCATATTGATGGCCGAAAATGACCATATCGGGCCAGATCTGGCTAGATCTGGCCATTTCCGACCATATCGAAGCCTCCCGGAGCCTCCCACAGAATTTCTAGTGTTTTTAGGGACTCCGGTAATTTTCCGGCGGTGGTCCGTGGTGGTTGACCCGCTGTCGGCGGTGGTGGCTGGGTGGCTGTGGTGGTGGTGGCTTGGTGGCAGTAGTGGTCTGTAAATTATTTTAAATATAAGGGCATTATTGTCCAAAATTTTAACTAAACAAGGGTAAAATTGAAATAGGATATTAATGTAAATTTGTTTTAAAGTAGGGGTATTATTGTCCAAAATTTTTATTAATAAGGGATAAAATTGTAACAAAAAAAGATAACCCTGGTAATCTCAGAAAACCTAAGAAAATGGAGGTAATCAGATTACCTCTTATATTACCAATAGTAACCACTATTGGTATTTGAAGATTACTGGTATCTTATATTACTTGACAACCAAACGTGGTAATCAAGTAATATAAGATGACATTACCCCAGTAATGCCACTTAACCCCGAACCAAACTGCCCCTGAGTTTTTTATACGTATTAATCCACCTCATGCGGGATAATCAATGAGAAATTTGAATCAAGTGAACAAAAACATTTTGTTTTCTAACTAGTTTAACTAAAAAACTAAGAAAGATCAGTTACTGGTGTACAAAATCAAAATCTCACCGGATAAAAGTTCAGTTATAGAAAATGAGAAGAAAAACTTGGTAAAGGACTCACCCAATGTCTTCTTCCCAACTCAAAAAGCCAAAACCTCCACTCTGTCATTGCCTCTCCATCAATTTTAACAGATATGTTTGTCCAGTCAGTATGATGAAACTCCACTTTGTCCAATCTGTATGCCACTCCACTCCCTATGGCTTTGACATATGCTTCTTTAAGACACCAATATCTGCAGGACAAAAAATACAATCATCATTTAAACATGCTTTAAGAGAAAATTAATCCATGTCAATCATTCATGCTTATCAGTAGTTAAAAATATTATTGGACAAAAACTAATAAGAGACCAACATCCACTTCCAAGGAAAAGGATTTTGTATTCCTAATCTAACTCCTCTATCAATGGGTATCAGAGCAAGGTCTAATATTTCCACACCAAAAACCGTAAACACATACAAAACTAGATTTTCCCTAACACATACACAAAAACCCTAATTTTTTCCATCCAAAATCCTCTTTTGTAAACCTTACACAGATTGTTCGGAAAACCAAAAATCCCTAGCAATGTCGGAACAACCAATCTCACATATAGAAATACTATTTATGCTACTGTTTATAGTACTATTTACAATACTGTCCATAGTCATCAGAGTGTGTACTTGATCCATGGCTTTCTTGATGTCGCAAAAATTTCTAGTCTCTTTCATGAAATTTGGGTGTCAATTATATAAAAGATAGGAAAAAAATTCCTCTCTTGGATAGCATTGACACCATTCTGAATTTTATGCTAAGACTAAAATTTTTTTCAACATTAGAAGCCAGATTGAGTACACACTTTGTATGGCTAAATTTAAAATGTTCAAAACAAAGAAGGGCTTAATTAAATAAACATAACCTTAGGGGAGAACAAAATTATGAACAATACTGTAAATAGTACTACGAACGATACCATGAACAATATTTAATATGTGACATTGGCTATTCTGACAGTTGAGGAGTACAATTTCTAACTTACTAGGGTTTTTTTGAACTTTCGATGTAATTTAGGGTTTATGATTTTGGATGGGAATATTTAGGGGTGTCTATGTGTTAGGGAAAATCTAGGTTTGTTTGTACTTAGAATTTTTGGTGCAGAAGGTTTTAGAGAAATCAGAACTTTCTCTAAGACCAATTCAGAGAGGAGCAAAGGGAGAATTAAATAAAGAATATAGAGAAATAGAAAAAAAATAAGATAGACTAAGGAGAAAATTAGATAGGTCAAGAGGAGAAATTAGTAGAAGAGGTAGCAAGAAACTCAAGCAGACTAGAAAAAATCCAAGGGAAGAAAAACCAATATTCTTATTCCATAATTACTTAATCTAGCATGAAAATAATAATGAAATAAACCTTTATTTTTAAGCCTAAAAAACCAAATCCTAATCAAGATATAAGTCTTAAAAAACAATGGTTTAATAATCCTAATCCTCCTAAAAAAATGAAATAGAAGTTTAATTTAACTAAGACAGCTCAATCCTAAAAATTATGTTATTCTTCCTTCACACATTGATTTGGTTTCAAAGCCTTTCCCTCCATCCGCTTATGTATATTAAAAATACTTAATAAGATCCTGATAAGATTATACATTTTATATGTGCAATAAAATCCTCTTGAGCATAACTAAATTGAAATCAACTGGCAAGAAACTGAGCAGGCTGTTGATCTTGGACTGAGATTGGGGATAAGAAAAATCACTCAATGTGGTAATAGAATAGATGCAATCAAGCAATTAAGTGACAGATTGCCACTTTCCCTGGTTAAAATTTGAAAGGTCCAGCATCTTTATTCAACATTTACATGATGAACCATGAATGTAAAACTATTGGGGTTGGGCCAACTGCATTCCTCAAAGTAGTGCTAATTGCAATGAAGTGTTTACTGGTTTATGATCTTACAAATAGCAGAAATATAAGAGATATGAATGATAATGTACTGAAAAATTGAACTGAAAGGCAGCTTTTGTCAGTCAAAGTTCTTGGAATCGGAGAATTTAGACAAAGCAACACCGTACCTGTAAAACTCAATCAGGATTTCATCACAGGAGCCCGCATTAATTATTTCATCCCATTCCAAACTTGAAAAATATGAGGAAAAGTTTTGAACAAATTGTGGAACTGTCTCTCTGCAAGGAATGATACAGGAAACAATGTCCAAGCCCACCAGGCAAAGAGGTTCAGATGCTATTGCCACATAGTTACCATGATGGGACACATTGAAATTAAAATTGGGAAATTCCATGCCAACTTTATCACATTCCTGGGAAACAGGGACAAATATGAATGGTATAACAAAATCAAACAAGATTAGCATAATAGAAGTATATGCAAGCCAAGAATGGGAACTAGAATTGTGACTGGAAAGACATGCATATATCAAGTTCTCATGGACACAAATACATGAGTTACGTTTTAAATCATAAAAATGAAAGAATCACAAAAGTTCACTTAATTCCTGAAACCTTCATGATTTCTTACGCGTCTAGACCTGAAGAATTCATTATCAAGAAATTCTATTGCATAACAGCAAACTGCTTAAAAAATTGAACATCCAATCGGAAACAAAACTCTCTTTTGCCTGTTTCAATAAAGTTCAGAACATTAAACGTCAAAGGGAAGAATCTTTAAAATTTCACAAAACACAAAAAATTAATATGCACTAATGAATCTTTTTTCATATCATGTACATATTTTCTTGCTAAATTATTTATTTCAATGCATTGATTTTGTGTAAAATTACAAACAAAATCTTAGTATGCACCATTAATTGGAATGCAGAAACAAGAATGGGAACTTTAACATTCAATCATACCAAATAGGGCTTGCCTTCAATCGTGCGCTTTATGATAATCTCATCAACTGGAATGCCCAACACTTCATGAACCAGAGCATTTTGAAGCAACCTACTTACAAGTGCTCGTTTCCTATCTTCCATTTTCACAAATCTACAAAACACAAAACAAACAATGAAAATCAAACCCCTTGTTATCAGAAGTACTAACCTCAATTAGTCAAAAGTTAATTCACAACAAAAATGAAGTTCCAAACTGGAGAGACATTTCATCAACCATAATCTATATACAAACCCACATTTCATTGATAAATTAACTAGAGAAAATAACATATATAAAATTTTCAATCATAAAGTTCATATTTTTCAATTTATCTTCATGTCCCATCAGCCAATAGCTTCAACACTAGAAAAATAAAAATAAAACTATAACAATTCTTATTCATCCATAAATTTAACTACAACCAGTTGTGTCAAATGCAAGTTACCTCATTATTTTCCAGGAAACTAAACAGAAACCCAGATAGTCAGTAATGAAAGAAAAAAGAAAGAGAAGGTGACCTGGTGATGGAGGAGTGTTGATGATGAGGAAGAAGAGAAAGAGCAGAAGAGAAGTGATGGGGTATTGGGTTCCATTTTGATATGTCCACTACCCATCTTACAACTCCCTTCTCCATCAGACTCGAAGCTAACAAATTTGTTTTGTGTTCCCTCTCAAGCATATCAAACCATCTTAAACCGGAGGGAGAAGCCGGCAAAAAGTGGGCACGGGTCGGGTGCTCATATAGCCCAAGCCCAACTCAACAATCTTGTGGTTTTCTGATGATATTTTCATTTTTAAATATAAAGACAGTTTTTTTTATCGAGTTAATGACTTTTTCCCACTAATAATTATTTAATGATATTTTCTCAATTACAAACTTTTAAAATATCACTTTACTATCAAAATTATATTCTGACGACGAACAGAGAACAAACTCGATCCAAGTTGTTGGGGCTTTTGAAGAGGAGAGACTGATGAGGCTTTCGATGTTGGAAGATTGAATTTTGTTGGTTAGGATAAATTGGAATTTGACTTGAGAGGGAGGACTATGTAAACTCTAATCGCTTGATTGCTGGCGATTGACAGGGTCGACGGGAATAGGTTTAGTGAGTGATAATCGAGGAAAAGAATGGTGGTGGTGTGTGGTCGCAATGATGTCAGAATCAGAAATGAAATATACATTTTGGGTATTATAATGGTATTTTAAAAGTCTGTGGTTCGGAAAATTTCGTTAAACCATTATTTGGGTGGGAAAAATTCGTTTACTCTTTTTTATTTTATCAAAGTAAATCAAAATTTAATGGGAATTACTTAAAATAAATTGAAGATAACTACCTCTAAGTGGCCAAGTGGTTCGACATAGATTCTTGCATGTATTACTTAAGAGATTTTGAGTTCGAATATTTCATCGGTTGCTAATAGAGATAACCACTAGAGCTCTTACCGAACTAGTAATTCCAGGATCTTGGGAGATTAGTTGAGATACCCATAAATTGGCCCAGACACCCCCATCATAAAAAAAAAAAAAAAAAAAAAAAAATGAATTGGGTACTGGTGGTTTCAAAATTCTTCATTAACCTGCTGTCAAATTTTAAATGAAAAAATATTCTGAGCTTTTCATTTCTTAACTCTTAATTAATTAGGGGGCCAAACAAGCTGTAGCTAATCTCCAAGTCTCTACATATAAAACAGTGACAATAATATCGTGTCATAAGGTAAAATCCTTCCATTAGAATTTAATAATATTTCCAAACTACCAGCGATAAGGATAATATTAGTTATTGATAAACTATGATAGTGATTATTGTTGAAAAAGATAATCTATTTACGATTTTATTGTCAACGAGAGTTATTAATAAAATTAATACTTTATTCAATGTGGTGCATAATAATAATTAATATGTTTAATTATTTGTATAAACTTTAACTCAACTTTTCAGCCACGGCAATGTGACCCTTCTGATTAGTGAAAGGGAAAACCAAAACAAAATTTACAGTAATTTTCCAAGTTTGTTGTCCTAACTGCTGTTTTTATTCTCACCAAACTCCCCTATAAAATCAATCCTTCATCAACTTCAATTACATTACACATAATTTATGAAACAATGAGGCTGCTCACAAACAAGTATGTGAAGCTTCAAAAGTGCCATCTCCGGCAAGACGATGCCTGTTCCGCTGGTGATCGGAGGGAGGCTGCAGTAAGCTATAATTATAAAGAAGGTGGAGGCGGTTATGAGATGGGCAAGGTGATCAAACTTGTGCATGCCATTCAAACTGTGCTTGATGCTAAGGTTCAGCGTCGCCAACTGCAACGATCACTGTCCGACGGTGTTCCTAGTTGTGATTCTGACCGAAATCAGCCGTTCAACGGTGAAGGCAACCGGCCGGAATGAAGGGGATCGTGACGAATGTTTGAATAATTGAAGTTGTTTACTATGATATTGCTGAGTTGATTTCAGCATTATATTGAATGATTAATATTAATTACTACTTATTAATTATTGGTTGAATAATTAGTTAATTCATGTTTATTTCATATAATTAAGTTTGATATTTGATGTAAGTCTAACGTTGACAAATAGTCAACATATACAATATGACATTGAGGAAACCAGAAAAAAGTATTTTGGGGCTAAACTGTAAAATTTTATAAACAAGGAGGTCAAGAAATTTTAAGGGGTGAAAATTACTTTATATAAATAAAAACATAAGTATACCCCACTGTGGACCAGTAATATTGTTTTAAAAATTACAATACACTATAATATAAATATAAATCTAAATTGTGGAAAAATTATTATCAAAGCATATTTTACATATTCCAAAAAAAAAAAAAAAAAAAAAAAAAAAAAAAAAAAAAATCAAAATTTTCCTTATGTTATCAGTGGTTTTACCCCCATCTACGGGCTGAAAGACATGTCTCACCCTATTGTTTTGGAAAACTAACAATGTGTTTCTTGAGATTCTGATCATTATAGCGACAAGAGAAGGGTAATAATGTAATTTCACGGGATAAATTAAACACTAAAATAAAAAATCTAATGCACACTTTCATTAAAAATAAGGGATATTATCGTTTTGGGGTAATTAATTTCAAGAATTGACAACAAAGACCTTAAGTTCCAAAAGTAGTAAAAATATCGATCAAATAAATAATAATGAATTGGTCTTTAAATTTACTATATTGGACTTTTTTCAATATGTTGAAGTTACATTTATACCCTTAATCAGTGTTATCTAATTCAAACAAGTAGTTTCACTTTCATCAAACTTTTTTATATCAAGTTTTTTTTTTTTTTTTTATCTTAAATGTATTTATTTTCTTTTTCATTTTTAGAACTCTTTACCGTATATATTTCTTTCGAAAAATAAAGAACACAATAACAAATAAAAAATAATAGTATTTGTAATGTATTAAGTATTATATTCTTTAGATCAATATTAGAAAACAACAAGTTTCATTTTTCATATGTTTTCTAATATGTTTTTCATCTTTCATTTTTAGTATTTTTATATTTCTTTCCAAAAAATAATAATAATAATGAAATGTGTGATATATTATATTCTTTAGATTCTCGTCTTATTTACCGGACCGGTAGTTCTAGGGTCTTGGAGGATTAGTTAAAGTGCGTGTAAGCTAACCCAAAAATTGCTAACATAATATTATGAATATAATAAAATAAACACAAAAAATTTAAACATAGGCTTCGTTTGGTTCAAGATTGGGAATACTACTCTTAGTATTCCCAAAAAAGTTAAACAGTAAAATACCCAAAAACTCTCATTTTGGGGAATACTATTTTCAATATTATTCAATTTTTTTAAACCCTCTAAATTTGTTAATTCAATTAAATACCCCTAAATATTTTTTTTTAAATTACAAAAACACCCCAACAATCACATTTACTAGATTCCGGCCACCACCGCCAGAAAATGGCCGGAATCTGATAGGATGGCGCACTACCGGCTGAATCTGGCCGGTAGTGCGTCGATCTAGCCTTTTCCGGCCAGATCCACGGTGGATCTGGCCGAAAAAGGCCAGATCTAAGGCCGTAACAGTCGGTTACGACGGCCAACAAACGGTCATCGTTGACCATCAACGACGACCGTTTGTTGGCCATCGTTGAGAGCAAATACGGCTAGATCTGGCCGTTGACGGCCAGATCTAGCAGTAGATTTGGCCTTTGCCGGCCAGATCCACCGTGGATCTGGCCGGAAAAGGCCATATCGGCGCATGACCGGCAAGATCCATCCGGTCATGCACCGATAAGGCGACTCCGACCACCTCCGGTGGTGGTGGCCGACTGGGGGTGTTTGAGGGTGAGTTGGGGGTGTTTTTGTTAATTTTTAATATTTTATTATATGGGATATTTTGTAAAAAAACAAACATAAGGGGTATTATATTAATTTATAAATCTTATATCGTAATACCCGTCCAATTCAACTTTTTTTTTTAACTTTTTTCAAAAAACTTTTCCCAAAACCCCCAAATTTTGAACCAAACGAAGCCATAAATACTATGGCTGCGTTTGTTTAACATTTGGGAATACTACTTTTAGTATTCCCAAAAAAGTTAAACAGTAAAATACCCAAAAATTCAGATTTTTGGGAATACTACTCCCAAAATTATTCAACTTTTTTTAAACCCCTTAAATTTGATAATTAAATTAAATACTCCTAAATATTTTTTTTTAAATTACAAAAACACCCCAATAATCCACATTTACCAGATTCCGGCCACCACCACCGGAAAATGGCCAGAATCTTGTAGAAAGAAATGGACGCACTACCGGCTGAATCTGGTCGGCAGTGCACGATTAGCCTTTTCCGGCCAGATCACGGTGGATTGGCCGGAAAAGGCCAGATCTAAGGCCAAAGATCTGGCCGTGACGGCAGATCTTTGGCCGTAACACTCGGGCACGACGGCCAACAAAGGTCCGTGACCATCAACGATGACCGTGTTGGCCACGTTGAGAGCAAATACGGCCAGATCGGCCGTTGACGGCCAGATCTGACGTAGATCTGGCCTTTTCCGGCCGATCCACGTGGATCGTGGCCGGAGAAGGCCATAGGACGCATGACGGCAAGATCCAATGGTCATGCGCCCATACGGCTACTCCGGCCACCTCCGGTGGTGGTCGCCGGCTGGGGGTGTTTGAGGGTGGGTTAGGGGTATTTTTGTTAACTTTTAATGTTTTATTATAGGGGGTATTTTGTAAAAAAACAAACATAAAGGAGATTTTATTAATTTATAAATTTTACCTCGTAATACCCGCCCAATTCAACTTTTTTTTAACTTTTTCAAAAAACTTTTCCAAAACCCCCAAATTTTGAACCAAACGCAGCCTATATAATTGTTACTCTGAACGGTAGATTAGTCATAAAACTTTTTATTTAGTCTTAGATAATGTTATGGGGATCCCTGATATTTTACCCATTGAAAATATCCAAAAGGTCTCAATATTCTGGTGAATTTCATCCTACGCCTACAGGAACCCGATCGTCACATTGTCAACTATTGCATAAGAAAAGAAAATGTCTGACAACAACGACACGCTTTATTCGGCCTCCTTTGCTTCTCTTCCAGTTCATTCGTTTCACAGAACAATTTTTTTGCTATAAACCCAGATCAGATCCTGTCAACAACTGTCCGTTTCTTAAACCCAGAGGTACCTAAAACTTCCATGGTTATACTTTCTTTTGTTAGATAAAATTCCATTAATATCTACCAAACTCAGTCAACCCTTTTAACGTTGTGGGCTTAAATTTCTTGTTTTTGCTCCAAGTTTAAACCCTTTTAAGCTAAATCCAACATGGGTGTAGGTATTTCAGTCTTGATAGGATTAAAAGCAGCAGTTTATTTTTTCATATTTACACAGTTGAAAACTTTAGGTTTAACATTATTTTCATTATTTTTTTTGTATGCGTCACTAATTTCAGTACTTATTGCATTTGCATCTCATCCATTCATTAATCTCCCTATGCTTTTGGGAAAGAAATCAGATGGGAGCTTACCCATTTGGTCAACAATTATGTTTAGTCCTTACATATATTTTGTCAGAATCTTTTCAATATTGAGAAGATTGATGAGTGGTGAAGAGCCTTATAATGAGATTTGTGAAGGGATATATGTTGGTGGGTGGCCTTCTTCACTTAGTACGTTGCCACCTGGTAACCCTGCTGTTATTGATTGCACGTGTGAGTTTCCAAGAATGAAGGAACTTGAAGGGTGCCCCTATTTGTGTGTGCCCACTTGGGATACCAGGGCGCCTCAGCCGGGGGAGATTGAGTCTGCCGTGAAGTGGGCTTGTCGAAAGAGAGCTCAGAATAGGCCGATTTTCGTCCACTGTGCATATGGTATGATGTCTGATTTCTGTGATCCTTTTGTTGGTGAATTACTCTTGTTTCATGTTGTATTTGTTTGCATGAGTTCTGCTTTGGATTTTGTTAAATAAGTGATTTAGTGTTTGTATGGTCTTCATCGTAATCAGTTGTTTTTAAGTATTTCCTTTAGGTTTCAGTCTAGTTGATTGCCTAGACATGATGCTTTGTTTTGATTATTCAAAAGCATTTTATCTTTATTTGTCTGCTGCCCCTATCGAATGATGTTTCCTCCTCTGTATGAGTTTTAGTTCGGATTGGTTTTACTAGGGATTTGTAGGTTTCAATTGTCTATGTATTGACTCTATTGCGAGAGTTTGGTCGAGTGAGAGACACCACAAGAGCACATGAAACACTCTGCATGCGGGTTGTCTTTTGAGAAACAAACATGAACCTGTTTATGTTTTTAATCATAAAATGTCAATCAAGGTGGCCAGTTGGGGTTTGGTTTTGGTTGAAGAATAAGGGGCATATTACTACTGGGAGAGTAGACTTAATTTGACTTCACATTTTAGTTTTGTTCATTGGATTATTGTTATTTACTTTTTAGTTTTATCCTCACTCCCAACTTTTTCAAGCCAAACTACTGGTTACCTGCTTGCTAGTTTAGCATGTAGGGGCTTAATTTCTTTACAAAATAATGTTTAAAATTACTGATTGGTGGAATATATGGGTACTTTGTTGACAATTTTTATACTTGGCTAATTACAGCTTGCGGTTTTCATGATCTGATTTGATTGCAAACAAACAATTAACACCATGAAATGCATTCTATAGGTCATGGAAGAAGTGTTGCTGTTATGTGTGCGCTATTAGTGGGTTTGGGTATTGTAGAAGATTGGAAAAAGGCTGAGAATTTCATCCGTGAAAGACGACCTTATATTCAAATGAATGCTCTTCACTGCACGGCACTGGAAGAATGGTCTAAACACCGGTTATCTACTCCTAAAAGGAATGAATAAAAGTCCTGTTATTATCTCCATCACCTCTCCACACACAATCTGATATTCCAGACAAGAAGAGTGTTTACTTTCTTTTCTTTAGTTCCAATGACTGGGATTGCTTATTATGCAGTGACTCTTAACTGCTTCTAATTTCTTGTTTATTTGATATTTGATTCCATGTCAAAGAAATACTATTCTGTTATCTGAGGAGAAAATGGAATTATTGTAAAATATAGTAACTTTCAGGCAAACCATCTTCTCCATTGAAGGACTCTGTATAATGTTAATATACAAAGATCTTGTAAGTCATTTTTTTTTCCCATGGTTAACTTGCCCTTCTGGTTCATCTAATTTTTGGCTTGCCGCCTGTGTTGATAAACAAAAAAAGGCTATTAGATATGCTATGCTAACAAGGGATAGCTGTTTCAATGTTTTGTCATGCTAAATTTCCAGTCTCTTGATTTTGCTTTGATAAATTTCTTCTCTATTGCTTGAATGATTGATGATTCTGCTTATTTGTTTAACGTAATTGCTGTTTTGTTTCTCTAATGATATAGATATCAACCCAAATATGATTTGGTCAAGACTAATTTAGCTAATTGATTCAGTAGCGAGGAACTTTTTTACTACAGGATAGTCAGTTATGAGGTAATCCAAAATGCCTAGTTCAATTCAATAAGACAACCAAATAAGCCTCCCTTTCCCAAAACAGGATCCAGGCAAATAATGGTAGTTGAGTTAACCAAACAGCTTATACACTCTTGATATCCAACAACAAATATATGTGATTTGAATAGATTAGCATCCAAAAAAAGTACTTTCTAGATTAGCATCCAAAAAAAGTACTTTCATCAAGATTGTAAAACTAGGCAAAATTCTGGTATTTGTTAACTTACACATCACCACCGGTGGTGCACCAGGTATTTCCTTTTTTATTTGCAAATGATAATCAATGTTGTTTTTACAGGCATCAAATACATAAGGTTACAAAAAAATAAAACCTGGTATCATTGGTTTGTTATAAACCTTAACTACAGCCTCACTTGGCAGCACTACTTCTTGTCATAAAGGACTCTCCGCAACCACACTGCCCTTTCGAGTTGGGGTTGATAAAAATGAACTCAGATCTGCTAAACCAAATAAATTGAAGAATAACAAAATAAACAAATAAATAAGTATGAATTGATAGGTCAAGTAGAGGAGAATTTGGAAACCAAATACTTGATTATATAGTCCCAGAAAATCAAGTACTAAAGCAAGGTTGCAATGCACTATCATCGTATTAGCATTCTTTGAGGAGAACTTAAAGAAGTCTATGGAAGAATCAAGCAACATTTTTAATTATCAAACTAAACGAGGGTTTATTTGGGGCATGATATGAAAAGATATATCTATAAAGTTAAGCACAGATAACCACCAACTCGGTATATACAAAAATCATAATCTAAACAAACCAAAGAGGTGCAGAAAATCTATCAGGCTCAATACAAGACACCAGGTTCAAGCATTCCTTTAATGTGAGATACAACAGCATCTGGAAAATCTTAAGTAATATTCATGTAAATATAAATCAAGGCTAAGCGTACCACAATATATTCATGTTAATACATGGATGAAAATCTATATGAACTGAGAAAAAAGTAACGGATATTGTCTGTACCTGAGTTTGTCATCCACAAAATCCATCTTGGTTCCTATAACATGCATCAAGGCCTTTGGATCGATCAGTATCTTAACACCTTTGTCCTCAACTAGCTCATCGAACTTTGCTTTTTCATCTGAAGATTAGTATGGGCACAAAACATAATCAAAATGTGATGTAATCCATAGAAAAGCAACATTCTTATGTAAATCAAAATAATAAAAAGTGGCCAAATCTGAAGTCAATTGATGAAATGACAACGGCCTAATATTTTTCAAACAATATAATGCACTTCTTTATACATGTTCTTATGGATGAGGGACCATCCTGTCATCCAACAGTAAGGCGACTAGCAGCCTACAAGCTACAACACTAGCAACACAACCTGTGCACAACAGAAAATCAGGAGAAAAAGGAAAAGGGGGTGGGAAAATCAAATAAAAGAATTCCCATGTGTAGCTTATTATGGTATTCACATATGGTCTCTATCAATTCAAACACAATTGTATGCAAATCGGAGGTATAACTTTATACCTTCACACCAAAATTTTCTATATTAACTATGTTTTAATTACATGAAGAAGCATCTGATTCAGTACCACATTATTCTTTTATTTGGAGAATAACCGCTCTATGAGTAAGGCAAATGTATTTCTAAATTCTAGCCATCAATCGACTTAAATTCCTAAAGAATTTTTCTCACATTAAATATGTTGGAAATATTGATCAAACTAGCAAAATATGAAGATGGTGTTCTCTCCCCATCCAACCCCCCACCCCAAAAAAAAACAAGGGAGCAAATAAACGCATTAAACAAACATTTAGAAAATTGCATGTCCATCCACATAGCTAAACATCACTAAAAAAATATAAAAAAGCATCCATTTATCAAATAGTCAGTCAAATGCTTTCATCATTACTTTTTCATAAGGATACGTTACGAAATAAATACATGCTAAATATATCAGATTCTCAGATACATCCAGATGCAGTCATGTCTCAGTAACTTTTTAACAATTTTCAATATCCTATTCCTTGTTTCTGATTTAAAAAATAATCTCCACTTAAAGCTTTGGGGTAATGTAGATGTAGTTTGTGGATGATAAATATTAATCTTTGTCATTTTATTGATAAACAAACATACTTCCTAAATTAATTCACCACAGCCTACAACTTACCACGACATCTGCATCAAATTGACAAAAGCCTACTTACTAGTACAGCTTATTGCAGTTCCTTAATCTCAATATCAACAATCCTAAAATTCCAAATACATAACCCTTTTTTTTTTTTTTTTTTTTTTTGAACACCCAGAAATTTCTTGGCCTTTGCAACGTGCTTACGGGATCTAAACTTAAGCGGTGCCTAAATAATGGGCCTTAAAATATGAGGAAATTCATGGGATGAAACATCGAAATCAGGCTGAATCACTAAACTCTAATTTGAAATCGAAGAATTTAACCAAAAAATTGCAAATCAGGCAATATGTCACTCGAGAATGTTCCTCAACTCAAACATGTACAATATTTTGTGCAAACTCTCGCTCCAGAAATTCTTGTTATGCTTTCTGGGCCTCTTAACAAAGTTAATAAACGTGAGCTACATTAATTTGATACAATCATATGAAATAAATAAACTTATAACAGAAATACTTATTCGAATTCTAAATTCATAAACTTTCAACATGTATAATAATAGAAATTTTGATTATAATTACTTAGGAAAACGAACTGACGAACCTGCATAATTAAGCGTGTAGGATAAGCCGTTGCAGCCGCGAGCCTTGACGCCGAGGCGGAGAAAAGAGCGCTGTCGCTGCTGTAAGAGTTGATGGATTCTGGTAGCGGCGGCGTCCGTTACGGTTAGGGCTTGACGGCGTACGGCGGTCGCCACCTTCTCGGCTAAAATTTTAGAAGAAGAGGCTGCCATTGATTTCTCAAAAGACAAATTTGGATTTGGCTACCATTTCTTCTAGATCTTTCTCAATTATAATTCCTGATTGAGTGATTTCTATTTTTAAAATATATTCTGGTATTAACCGTCAGGTTTAAAAGTTTGCTACGAAGGCAACGTTGCTGGTCCGGTAACCTTACACCGGAACATTTTTAATAAATAAAGAAATTAAAATTAGGAGTCAATTATTTGTATAATTAAAATAATGAATTATTTATAAGGCTTTTTTTTTTTTTTTTTTTTACATTTCCGGTTCGAAATTTAGTGTTAATTTAATTAAATAGTGATTAGAATTGATAAGAAATGTAAAATGAAAATAAAATTTAATCATACATAACCAATTTGTTCGCTTATTTATAAATTAAAATTTCATAGTTTGTTAATTCTAAATGTTTTAATATTATATCATTACTTTAAATTAAAAATATAATGTTTTAACTTTTTTTTTTTTTTTTAAATAACAGATGTCCGGACTAGCTTATGTATACCTCAATTAATCCGCCAGACCCTAAAACTACGGTTGGATAAAAATACTAGTGATTACTCCTATTAACAACAAAAAGACTCGAATTCAACTTCTTGAATAATACCACAAAAATGGCTATCGAACAACTTCACCATACAAAGGTATTTATATAATTTAACCTTCTTAAATTTATTTTCAAATCACACCATTGTACGTAAAACAGACTTGTGAAATATTTGTGCATCCAAATAATTTTCCTTGTAAAGAAGAACATGTCAAGGATACTGCAGGATAAAATTTCTCAAAACATTTAAATAAATTATGTAACTGAATCACAACTACTTAGTATATATTAATCAAACACAACTATGCACTAAATCACAAACTATTTAACATCTACTAATCACAAACACTGATATTTCTTTAATACTCAGCTGACGAATATGCTAAACGCAGAAAGTTGCATAAATTTTGTGAAAAATCATCTTCATACTGTGCTGTTGAGGTTTCAGCAATGTAATTTAACCATTGGCGTATTTTCAACACGGTAAGAACACAGAACCCCCACGATGCGATCATTCTCTGTCGACATGTTCGATTCTCCACAGCCAACAAAGATGAATAGCTCATAGGTATTGATATTAAAGTGAAATCAAAATTCTACACAAAAAACTCCACAGATTTTTTTGCACAGTATTATACAGTTTTATTTACATATGGGCAGTTTATGAGTACTTAAACTCACGTGTGGTGAAGTTTAACAGTGAGGTACACAATGATCGCTTTAACGTCACCGTTGCTGGTTAACAAGACTGTTTGATAGGCACCAAATGCATGAGATTAGCTGAGATAACATCTGTTAACAGTCAATTTTCACAATCCTCAACTACGACCTCGCTTGGCAGTGGTACTGCTTGCTGTCATAAAGGATTCTCCACAACCACATTGCCCTTTTGAGTTGGGGTTGATGAAACAAAAACTCAGATCTGCCAAAAACAAAAGTGGAGAAGAATTGGAAAACCAAGAACTAACAAAGAGTTGCCAAGACAATGACTTCAAAGAACTTGGTTTTGATTATCAGTTCAATTTATTGAAAAGAACTTAAAGTTTACAGAAGAATGAGCCAACATTTTCAAACATTGAACCAAAAGGGTCTAGTGGAACATGATGGAAAAATATAGTTCTCGACTTTAAGCTCATAATCATCAAACCAGGCAAACTAAATGATAAATGCCTAGTGGACATATGAGAAATCATCATTCAAAATCAAACATCCAAGGAGGTGCGTTTAAATTAGGCTCATCTATGTGACACTAGGCTGCCAGACACTTCCCCAGTGCAGGATACACACCATGATAAAATTTTGCTAATAACCATAAGTATATTCCTAGCAAATGAAGCATTCCATTGTTATATCCTACTTCATAAAAAAACGCAAGAGCGAGTTCATATATGGTTGGAAATGAATATATGACAACTGTTTGTACCTCAACTTGTCATCACAAAATCCATCTTGGTTCCAATAACATGCATCAGTGCCTTTGGATCAATCGTCTCTTAACACCCTTGTCCTCAATCAACTCATCAAACTTGCCTTCTCATCTGAACTTTGATACAGGAACAGAACATTATTAAATGTGAATTGAGCCACAAGAAAACAAAATTTGAGGTGGAAGCAAAAGGAGCAAGTATTAACCAGAAACAAGATAAAATATCATCACCTAATTGTTTAAACATCACTATTGTTTCAACACTACATTGACTACAGTTGTCTCCTTAATTAAGTTCTTATGGTGACTGCCGGTAATCAACAGTAACACAATTAAAACCCTGCAAGCTACACACTGGAAGACATGCCATGCGGTGCAACGAAGAAAGGGAAGAGAAAGGAAAGGGAGAACAGATAAACATTTCCAAAATTATTATTTATTTCAAATATGGTGCCCACAAAAGCTGATATAAATATAACTGAGCCAATACAGGATACCTTTGATTTCATGCCATGATTTTCAACATTAACATGTTTCGAATAAGATATAAGAAGTAAAGGGAAAACATCTAACCCCCACGCCTTTTTTTTGGAACAAGAAGATCAATCATTTCTAGTATGAATGGCAAAATGCTTCTAACTCTAACCAATAACCAGCTGTAATTTTCTCCCCGTGTTTTTCTCTCACACATTAACATTCGGAAAAGATTAATAACGACACATTAAAAGCTGAAGACAAAGACAACAAACACTGAAACATGCCATGCAGTGATGTGCAACAGAAGGAAAAGGAGAAAGTAAATTGTAAAACAAAGGCAAAGGAGAACAAATAATATATTATTTATTTATTCACATGATGTGCCACAAAAAGCTGATATTATAACTGAGCCAAACAGGATATTATACATCATGATTTCATAATCATGTTCACTAATAGTGTAAGAAGTAAAAGAAAAAAAATCTAACACCCAACACTTTTTTGAACAAGAGACAATCATTCTAGTATGAATGGCAAGGTGCTTCTAACTTCTAACCAATAACCAACTGTATTTCTCCCCCATGTTTCTCTCACACATTAACATGTCGGAAAAGTTTATGGAACAACTATATCGCAATGATGCTCCCCATCATCCTCACCCAACCCTTCAAAAACCGAAAATAAAAAATTGTCAAATTTCAATTGTTGCTTGCAAAACATCCATGGATAGAAATATTTTCACCTCACGGTAAACAAACATAAAAGTAAGACTCCACCTGATGAATCATTATTTTCTCTTACAGGATTTTCCACACAGAATCCCCAACTAAAACAAAAGACAAAGAAACATGTTGAACACATCGAATTCAATATAAACACCATCACATTCATTCATGTTCCAGTTTTCACTATTAACAATATTATCCTCCTATTCTCCCATATGACTTCAGATATTAATCTCCATTTTAGGTTCATTTGTACGTGTTTTGCTACTTACAAACAAAGTAACTCAAAAACAGTATAAAGTTTTATCATTTCTCCAAGATAACAACTCAGCTCGACATTTCATTGCATTCTTGTTCTCAATCTCAATAATTTTGATTACCAACAAAATCATTATAATGATTTCGATTCACATAATCATGCTAGTTGAATACTATTATCCAATCCTAAATTCTTAAACTAAATTTATTAATAAAAAAATCATCGCGATTCCTTACCTGCATAATTGAGGTTGTAAGATAGCCGTTGCAGCCGCGAGCCTTGACCCGAGACGAAGGAAAGGGCGTTGGCGCTGCTGTAGGAGTTGACGGATTCTGGTTGCTGCGGCATCGGTTAAGGATAAGGCTTGGCGTTTAACGGCGGGCCACCTTTGGCTACCATTTTCGAAGACGAAGAAACTGAAATATTCTCTTCTCTTCATCAAAACGCCATCTTTTTTATTATTTAATTTTCATTTTGTATATTACTATTCCATTGGAGGGGATTCTAGAAATATTAAGAAAGATTTGGACTTTGATAATAACAGTGTTCCATCAATGGAATTAATGAAAGCCCCAGGGTTTTTCTGAGTTCATGAACCCCAAGGTTTTTAAAATAGTTTTCATGTTAGCATGTTTGTTCCATCAAGACTTTTTCCATTACTTAATAATAAATTGACTAATTCACGAGTTTTACTGACAGCCATGATAGTCAATAGGGTGTTAAAATTGAAAAATCGAACCGAACCGCTAATCGAACCAAAAAACTATTTAACCGAAAAAATAGTTCGATTACAGTTTAAAAAATTTAAAAAACCAAATTTTCGGTTCGGTTACCTATTCCGGGAGAAATTAGAAACGGTTAATCGAAAATCGGTTTTCTAAACCGGTTTTTCAAATATATATATATATTATATATTAAATAAATAAATAATAACCTAAGCTAAAATAAATCTCTAATTCACTTAATCTAAAATCCCAACCCCAATTTTTTTTCTTAGTTCCCAATGTATTGTCTATATTTACAATTTAATTTATGACAAAATAAAAAAAAAAAAAAAGGAAAACCATTTCAAAACCGGTTAATCGCTTTTTTTAAAATGGTTAACCAGTTTTTCGATTAACCGAAAAACCAATTTTTCCTAAAACCAGTTCGGTTTCAGTTTGGAAAAATTCTCGAACCGAAAATCCGGTTTGGTTTAGAAAATCGGTTAACCGCTTTTGAACACCCCTAATAGTCAATGGCAACAAATGTACTATCCAATGCTATTGAGCACTTAGAATATAAGTCATTGTTTTAAAACTCGACCTGCCCAGTTGGTTTAATCGGTGCCCAGAAGCTTCATCGGGTCGGTTTATATTTTTCCTCTTCACCCAAAACCCTAGAATTTAGGATGATGATCGGCAAACAGTTGAAGGTCAGGATGTTGGGCTTTTGAAGAAAAAGTGTCGGTGAGTGCAATGGTGACGACGAAGTTGATTTCTAGTGAATGAATCAATTGGAAATTGAAAAAATTTGGTGACAGCAACAACCGACTTTTGTCGATGATTGGTGAGGCTAACAGGGGTGGAGTGAGGTGGGTTTTGGTGGGCAGGAAGAGGAGAGTATTTTCAGGGTGATGAGGAGGGTTGTCGACGCCAGCGTTAGTGAGATTTGGTCTGAAATGCCGACACCAGCATCGGTGAAATCTGGCTTGGAATGCTGACACCAACGTCAGTGAGATCTAGTCGCCAAATCTTGAGTAGATTTTTAGGGGAATTGGCTCAAGGGACAATTGGGGTTGCATTTAGGGTGTCGTCGCCGGTTTATATTTGGGATGTGTTTGCTAAATTTCAAACCTATAGGGACTTAACTTAATTTTTAGGGGTGTATTTGTTGAATTTTAAAAGTTTTGTCACCCAGTTTGACCGTAGACTCGGCAACTTTACCAAGTTTCACCCCGAGTTGGGTTTTTATGGTCAAACCAGGACTCAACAACTTTATCGGGTTTCACCCTAGGTTGGGTTTTAAAACATTGATATTAGTCATAGTCACTTGTCATCTTAAAACATTGTTACGAACATTAATTTCGATTGAAGTCGTAAAAGCGCCCAAACCTTTTTATGATATGCATTAAAAGCTATCATCCATTAAAAGTATACTTGATAACAAGTAATTGGATCTTTTCCAAAGGTCACCTGTCCTCGAAGATCCCTTTATGTAGTAACATTTCATGCCATGATTTTCAACATTAATCATGTTTCACTAATAAGATGTAAGAAGTAAAAGGAAAAAAAAATCTAAACCCCAACACCTTTTTTTTGGAACAAGAAGATCAATCATTTCTAGTATGAATGGCAAGGGTTCTAACTTCTAACCAATAACCAACTGTAATTTCTCCCCATGTTTCTCTCACACATTAAACATGTCGGAAAAGTTATGGAACAACTATAGCAATGATGCTCCCCATCATCCTCCCCAACCCTTCAAAAACCGAAAATAAAAAAATGTCAAATTTCAATTAGTTGCTTGCAAAACATCACATGGGAGAAAAATTCACCTCACGGTAAACAAACATAAAAGTAAGACCCACTCTGATGAATCATATTTTCTCTTACAGGATTTTCACACAGAATCCCCAACTAAACAAAAGACAAAGAATACATGTTGAACACATCGAATTCATATAAACACCATCACATTCATTCATGTTCCAGTTTTCACTATTAACAATATTCCTCCTATTCTCCCTATATGACTTCAGATATTAATCTCCATTTAGGTTCATTTGTAGTGTTTTGCTACTTACAAACAAAAGTAACTCAAAAACAGTATAAAGTTTTATCATTTCTCCAAGATAACAAGCTCAGCTCGCACATTTCATTGCATTCTTGTTCTCAATCTCAATAATTTGATTACCAACAAAATCATTATAATGATTTCGATTCACATAAATACATGCTAGTTGAATACTATTATCCAATCCTAAAATTCTTAAACTAAATATATATAAATAAAAAAAATCATCGCGATTCCTTACCTGCATAATTGAGGGTGTAAGATAAGCCGTTGCAGCCGCGAGCCTTGACGCCGAGACGAAGGAAAGGGCGTTGGCGCTGCGTAGGAGTTGACGGATTCTGGTTGCTGCGGCATCGGTTAAGGATAAGGCTGGTGTTTAACGCGGGCACACCTTGTGGCTACCATTTTCGAAGACGAAGAAACTGAAATATTCTCTTTCCTTCATCAAAACGCCATCTTTTTTATTATTTAATTTTCATTTTGTATATTACTATTTCCATTGGAGGGATTCTAGAAATATTAGAAAGATTTGGACTTTGATAATAACAGTGTTCCATCAATGGGTTAATTAAGCCCCAGGGTTTTCTGAGTTCATTAACCCAGGTTTTTAATAGTTTTCATTAGCAGTTTGTTCCATCAAAGACTTTTCCACTACTTAAGTAATAAAATTGACTAATTCACGAGTTTTACTTGACAGCCATGATAGTATTTTTTTTTTTGATAAACAAGATATTCGGATCAGCTTACATGTACTTCAACTAATCCTCCAAGACCCTAAAACTATCGGTTGGATAAAAACACTAGTGGTTATTCTTATTAACAAACAAAAAAAGACTCGAACTCAAGACTTTTTGAATAATACACACAAGAGTATCTATCGAACAACTCCACCATACAAAGGTAGTTATAATGTTTTAACCTTCTTAAATTTATTTTCAAATTACACCATCGTATGTAAAAAAGACTTCTAGGAAATATTTGTGCATCCAGATAATGTTCTCTTGTAAAGAAAGAACATGTCAAGGATACTGCAGGATAAAATATTCTCAAAACATTTAAATGAGAAATTATGTAACTGAATCACAAACTATTTAGTATTACATTAAATCAAACACAACTATGCACTAAATCACAAACTATTTAACATCTACTAATCACAAACACTGATATCTTCTTTAATACTCAGCTGACGAATATGCTAAACGCAGAAAGTTGCATAAATTTTGTGAAAAATCATCTTCTACTGTGCTGTTGAGGTTTCAGCAATGTAATTTAACCATTGGCGTATTTTCAACACGGTAAGAACACAGAACGCCCCACGATGCAGATCATTCTCTGTCGACAATGGGTCGATTCTCCACAGCCAACAAAAAGATGAATAGCTCATAGGTATTGATATTAAAGTGAAATCAAAATTCTACCAAGATAAAACTCCACAGATTTTTTGCACAGTAATATTATCAGTTTTATTTACATATGGGCAGTTTTGAGGTGTTATGAGTACTTAAACTCACGTGTGGTGAAGTTTAACAGTGTGAAGTGTACACAATGATCGCTTTAACGTCACCGTTGCTGGTTAACAAGACTGTTTGGATAGGCACCAAATGCATGAGATTAGCTGAGATAACATCTGTTAACAGTCAATTTTCACAATCCTTAACTACGACCTCTCTTGGCAGCTTCGGTACGGCTTGCTGTCATAAAGGATTCTCCACAACCACATTGCCCTTTTGAGTTGGGGTTGATGAAAACAAACTCAGATCTGCCAAAAACAACAAAGTGGAGAAGAATTGGAAAACCAAGAACTAACGAAGAGTTGCCAAGACAATGACTTCAAAGAACTTGGTTTTGATTATCAGTTCAATTTATTGAAAAGAACTTAAAGTTTACAGAAGAATGAGCCAACATTTTCAAACATTGAACCAAGAAAGGGTCTAAGTGGAACATGATGGAAAAATATATCTAATATATAGTTCTCAACTTTAAGCTCATATAATCATCAAACCAGGCAAACTAAATGATAAATGCCTAGTGGACATATGAGAAATCATCATTCAAAATCAAACATCCAAGGAGGTGCAGTTATTAAATTAGGCTCATCTATGTGACACTAGGCTGCCAAGATACTTCCCCAATGCAGGATACAACACCATTGTGAAAATTTTGCTAATAACCATAAGTATATATCCTAGCAAATGAAGCATTCCATTGTTATATCCTACTTCATAAAAAAACGCAAGAGCGAGTTCATATATGGTTGGAAATGAATATATGACAACTGTTTGTACCTCAACTTGTCATCAACAAAATCCATCTTGGTTCCAATAACATGCATCAGTGCCTTTGGATCAATCGGTCTCTTAACACCCTTGTCCTCAATCAACTCATCAAACTTGCCTTCTCATCTGAACTTTGATACAGGAACAGAACATTATTAAATGTGAATTGAGCCACAAGAAAACAAAATTTTGAGGTGGAAGCAAAAGGAGCAAGTATTAACCAGAAACAAAGATAAAATAATCATCACCTAATTGTTTCAAACATCACCTAATTGTTTCAAACACTACATTGACTACAGTTGTCTCCTTAATTAAGTTCTTATGGTGACTGGCCGGTAATCAACAGTAACACAATTAAAACCCTGCAAGCTACAACACTGGAAGACATGCCATGCATGGTGCAACAGAAGGAAAGGGAAGGAGAAAGGAAAGGGAGAACAGAATAAAACATTTCCAAAATTATTATTTATTTCAAATATGGTGCCCACAAAAAGCTGATATAAATATAACTGAGCCAATACAGGGATAACTTTGATTTCATGCTATGATTTTCAACATTAATCATGTTTCGGATAAGATGTAAAAGTAAAAGGAAAAAACATCTAAACCCCACGCCTTTTTTTTGGAACAAGAAGATCAATCATTTCTAGTATGAATGGCAAGAATGCTTCTAACTTCTAACCAATAACCAGCTGTAATTTTCTCCCCTGTGTTTCTCTCACACATTAAACATGTCGGAAAAGTTTAACACAATTAAAAGCCTGCAAGCTACAACACTGGAAAACATGCCATGCATAGTGCAACAGAGGAAAAGGGAAGGAGAAAGGAAAGGGAGAACAGAATAAATATTATTATTTATTTCACATATGGTGACCACAAAAAGCTGATATAAATATAACTGAGCCAAACAGGGATAACTTGGATTTCATGCCATGATTTTCAACATTAATCATGTTTCACTAATAAGATGTAAGAAGTAAAAGGAAAAAAAATCTAAACCCCAACACCTTTTTTTTGGAACAAGAAGATCAATCATTTCTAGTATGAATGGCAAGAGTGCTTCTAACTTCTAACCAATAACCAACTGTAATTTTCTCCCCCATGTTTCTCTCACACATTAAACATGTCGGAAAAGTTTATGGAACAACTATATCGCAATGATGCTCCCCATCATCCTCCCCCAACCCTTCAAAAACCGAAAATAAAAAATTGTCAAATTTCAATTTAGTTGCTTGCAAAACATCACATGGATAGAAATATTTTCACCTCACGGTAAACAAACATAAAAGTAAGACTCCACTCTGATGAATCATTATTTTCTCTTACAGGATTTTCCACACAGAATCCCCAACTAAAACAAAAGACAAAGAATACATGTTGAACACATCGAATTCAATATAAACACCATCACATTCATTCATGTTCCAGTTTTCACTATTAACAATATTATCCTCCTATTCTCCCTATATGACTTCAGATATTAATCTCCATTTTAGGTTCATTTGTGACGTGTTTTGCTACTTACAAACAAAAGTAACTCAAAAACAGTATAAAGTTTTATCATTTCTCCAAGATAACAAGCTCAGCTCGTACATTTCATTGCATTCTTGTTCTCAATCTCAATAATTTTGATTACCAACAAAATCATTATAATGATTTCGATTCACATAATAACATGCTAGTTGAATACTATTATCCAATCCTAAAATTCTTAAACTAAATTTATATAAATAAAAAAAATCATCGCGATTCCTTACCTGCATAATTGAGGGTGTAAGATAAGCCGTTGCAGCCGCGAGCCTTGACTCCGAGACGAAGGAAAGGGCGTTGGCGCTGCTGTAGGAGTTGACGGATTCTGGTTGCTGCGGCATCGGTTAAGGATAAGGCTTGGTGTTTAACGGCGGGCACAACCTTGTTGGCTACCATTTTCGAAGACGAAGAAACTGAAATATTCTCTTCTCCTTCATCAAAACGCCATCTTTTTTATTATTTAATTTTCATTTTGTATATTACTATTTCCATTGGAGGGGATTCTAGAAATATTAAGAAAGATTTGGACTTTGATAATAACAGTGTTCCATCAATGGAGTTAATTAAAGCCCCCAGGGTTTTTCTGAGTTCATTAACCCCAAGGTTTTTAAAATAGTTTTCATGTTAGCATGTTTGTTCCATCAATGACTTTTTCCACTACTTAAGTAATAAAATTGACTAATTCACGAGTTTTACTTGACAGCCATGATAGTAAATGGCAACAAATGTACTATCCAATGCTATTGAGCACTTAGAATATAAGTCATTGTTTTAAAACTCGACCTGCCCAGTCGGTTTAATCGGTACCCAGAAGCTTCATCGGGCCGGGTTATATTTTTCTTATTCACCTAAAACCCTAGAATTTAGGATGATGATCGGCAAACAATTGAAGGTCGGGATGTTGGGCTTTTGAAGAAAAAGTATCGGTGAGTACAATGATGACGACGAAGTTGATTTCTGGTGAATGAATCAACTGGAAATTGAAAAAATTTGGTGATAGCAACAACCGACTTTTGCCGGTGATTGGTGAGGCTAACAGGGGTGGAGTGAGGTGAGTTTTGGTGGGCAGGAAGAGCGTATTTTCAGGGTGATGACAAGGGTTGTCGACGCTAGCGTCGGTGAAATCTGGTCTGAAATGCCGACACCAGCGTCGGTGAAATCTGGCTTGGAATGTCGACGCCAACGTCAGTGAGATCTAGTCGCCAAATCTTGAGTAGATTTTTAGGGGAATGGGCTCAAGGGACAATTGGGGTTGCATTTAGGGTGTCGTCGCTGGTTTGTATTTAGGATGTGTTTGCTAAATTTCAAACCTATAGGGACTTAGCTTAATTTTTAGGGGTGTATTTGTTAAATTTTAAAAGTTTTGTCACCCGGTTTGATAGTAAATCGGTCAAACTGGGACTCGACAACTTTACCGAGTTTCACCCCGAGTTGGGTTTTTACGGTCAAACCAGGACTCAACAACTTTACCGGGTTTCACCCTAGGTTGGGTTTTAAAACATTGATATGAGTCATAGTCAATTGTCATCTTAAAACATTGTTATGAACATTAATTTCGATTGAAGTCGTAAAAGCGCCCAAACCTTTTTATGATATGCATTAAAAGCTATCATCCATTAAAAGTATACTTGATAACAAGTAATTGGATCTTTTCCAAAGGTCACCTGTCCTCGAAGATCCCTTTATGTAGTAACCCTTGATTAATAAGTAAGAGGAATGCTACACTTACAAAGATGCATACAAAAAGAGGTATATAAAAATAAATTCAACCCTTGAGAAAGACAATCATGAAGATTAAGGGTATGATTTGTCTTTGTATGTCCCTCTTTGTATGCATCTTTGTAAGGCTATCATTTCTTAATAAGTAAACGTAATCTTAATTTTTTTATAATAAAGATTACCGTGCAACTTAATCCCGCACACTCTTATTCATAATCCTTACAATGTGGCTTCCAGTTTTTTGTTTTTGAATTTTGAGAAATTCATCATAAAAAAATTGGAAGTTGTCATCTAAAGGTTGTGAAAGAGAGTTAGTGAGATTAGATTATAAGTATAATATTGTCCATCTTTTTATTCTGGTTCAATATTTTTTATTTTTTTTTATTTTCTTGTATTATATTTTATCAAATTGCCTCTAAATTATTGACTTGAGTATAAAAAAATAAAAGATTATCAAATATCTTATTGAGTACAAACCTACCAAGTTACCAACTACATTGGTATAACACTCTACTATAGCTAGTTCAAAGTGAATTCTTCCATAGTTTTTCAATAATAATTTCATAGATATAATTTAAAACTTCATTTTTTTTTTTTTTTGGGTTCTAAAAATCAGTTTAAATCATAAATCACAAATTATTAATTTATTCATGGATGCGATAACAATACCCCAAATAATATAAGAGCAATATTAGTTTTATAAAGGCACATATAAAGAAGGCATATAAAGACAATCCTCATCCTTGATTTTCATAAATTTTCTTTCTCTTTTTTTTTATTTTTTCTTTGTTTTTTTTTTTCTTCTGATGTTATTTTATAACATTTTTTATACGAGTATTTGTAAAGGTAACATTTTCCATAATATAATCCATTCCGCAGCCCTTGACCTGACCGTGAGTCAAGGAACATATTCTAAAGGCACGAGTAACTTTACCGGTGGGGCAAGGGTAGCAATTACCTGTTAGAAAAGATGCTTTTACGGTTTTACCCAGATGTGGGAAGAATCCAGACAAAACAAAAGCTGAAATGCATGGTCAACACAAGATGAAAAAAATATATAGTTGGTAGGTGACACTTGACAGAAGCTTTTGTCATGTAACACGAGGACGCAAATGTCATTTTCTAATACACACAACTCTTCACGCGATTACTATTAATAACTAATATAATTACACAAACGCACAACACACACGCACTCACTCACTCCGTAGAGTTTGGTGGAGATCGCATCACCTTCCTCTCTTACGAACTCATCGCTTTCTCTGTAAGGTCTCTCTTTCTCTTTCTCCTTCCTTTTTGTTTTTTCTTATGTGGGTTGTTATGCAAATCACTTGTTTTGTCTCTTTTTGATCTTGTTGTGTTGATGAATGGCTTGTTTGATAATCTGCTCGCTTGATTTATTCTAAAACAACATAACCCTTTTGAGTGTTTTTTCTTATTCTTTCTTATTGTGGGTTGTGATTGTTGCTGTGGTTTGTTTGCGATTATATTATGTATATTGAAGTGTAAAAACGAGATCTTTGATAATTTTGAATTCGTGTTAAGTGAATAAAGTTCATTAATTTTGCTTGCTTTAGGTGGTTTTAGGGTACCAATACTATTGATATATTAAATTCAGTGTTTTAATTGTTTTTTTTTTGTTAATCCTAATTGTTAGGATATTGTATCCATGAGTTTGTTGACTAATAAGGTTTTAGGACCATGGAGTCCTCAGTTTTAAACCAGGTACAAACAGCTAGGGATTTTCAGTTTGTCGAAAAATATCTTTTTTTTTTTTTTTCCTCCCTTTTGGTCCTTTGTTTACATATTTGTAGTACCAATAGTGTTAGATGTACAAACATTTGATGCATGATGACAGTTGGTACATGTGATACTTATATTTTAAGGGCGTATATTTTTAATTCTGTGATGAGTACAAGATATGGTTTCAGAACTTTGTGAATTGTTGACTTATTATTGATGAATCAAAATTTTGCTTTGAAGATGAATTTGGATGAAAATCATATATATACTTTTTTTGCAAATGTCACTCTCAAATTTACATGTGTATATATATCTATGAGTTACATCTGAGATTTTATCTGATTTTGAAATGAAGCAAAGTCAATTTTATCCTTTCCTTTGAATTGTAGAAGCTCTTCTTGGTTTATAGATGTCAGCACCTGTTGATGGATTGTTCTCTAGTATCTACATATTTAGTTAAAAGTGCGCCTATAGTTGAGGCATAAGCATCACTATGGAAGTGTCTTTCTGAATTAAATGATGTTTTTATTATTGATGTATAATGGTTTCTCTGTTCCACTTGTCAAGGTCGTTCAAAAGATTAGCCGATATGTCAAAACCTTTATAAGAAATCTTTAGAACAGTATTGACATTGTTAATGAATCAAAAAAATTGTAATGTATGCTGCAGCTGCCAACATCTATGAGTGTGGCTACGGTTTGGTATTCTGGTTATCTCTTACTAGTCAATGTGAAGGCATGTCTGTGCATTGGTGGTTATAGTGATGAATTCTGATGAGAGCTCCCTATACTTGGGAAGAATAAAAGACATTATAACAATGTTACTGCATTTATTTTTTTTTTTTCTATTAATCAACAGAAATTTATTGCTTCTCCTAGTATATGAGAGTTCGTCTGGTCATATATGCTTTTATCAATTTCCAAGTAAAAAGACGTTTGACCGAAGTAGATGAGCTGCCAATTTTCAATTTAGGAATTGTCTATGATTACAGTGAAGTCAACACCACTAACACCTTTAGATACTCGAATGTCTGGTGCAATTGCAGTTCTATAATTTCCACTTTTACTTGAACGGTTGTCACATTATTGGCATTGCATCTCTCTTTCTTGTGTTTGCTTAAAGTTTTATAAAGCGGCAAAAATTTGTGACTTGCACTGGATATAAGCTGCTTTCATTTGTTTAATGGTATCGTACTGGCATTCTGATTTCCTCCATTATCAAGCATATTTTTTATCTTTCCATGGTTGGATTTACCATTCATATGCCTTTATTGATATGCTGGGTTTGTTTGGATAGTGCTCTACCTCGAACAATTTCTGTAACTGACTTGAAACTTCCTTAAATGAAAGTTCAGACACATGTGAGACTACATATATCAATTATTTACTCTCTATATTTCATATTGGTTATGGGCTCAGGTTTAAACATGTCAACTGTGAGACTTCCAACATCTTGTGTATTCAAAACTGCACCACCAAGCAGAACTTCTGGCTCATTCAAATGTGCAATCCCAAGCAGATCTAGCGCATTTGTTAAGAGCCCCGCATCTCTTGGTTCTGTAAAAAGTGTTTCCAAAGCATTTGGCTTGAAGTCTTCTTCATTCAAAGTGTCTGCAGCAACCTACAAAGTGAAACTGATTTTACCAGATGGTGAGGAATGTGAGTTCGAAGCTCCTGATGATGCTTACATCCTCGACTCTGCTGAAGCTGCAGGAGTGGATCTGCCCTACTCATGCAGGGCTGGCGCCTGCTCTACTTGTGCCGGGCAGTTGAGTGAGGGCTCTGTGGACCAAACAGATGGATCATTCCTCGACGACAAGCAGATGGAGAAAGGTTATCTGCTAACCTGTATCTCATATCCGAAATCCGACTGTGTGATTCATACACACAAGGAAGAGGAGCTTTTCTAGTTAATGTTATGAGCTTCACTTTTGCTTTTAGTGAGTGTTATGCTAGAAATACTAAGAATATTTTTAACCAGGCTGGTAATGTTGGCCACCTGATGTTTGGGATAGTGTCTTTAGATTTTCAAATGTGTTATGCTAGAAATACTAAGAATATTTTTAACCAGGCTGGTAATGTTGGCCACCTGCTGTTTGGGATAGTGTCTTTAGATTTTCAAATGTGATGACTCAATGTTGCTGATTTAAATTTCATATTGAGTTGAATGTTTGGTTAGTTTTAGTATTGAGGTTTAATAGGACGGGTAGAAAATCAGAAAATTGCCACAAAGTCTTGCCACCAATTTATATCACATGGAACTTGGAGGGATTAGGAAAATGTTTTTGAATTTTCACTTTTAAAAATTGGAAAAAATGCTATAGATTAACGTTTTGGAAAAATGTTTTGACATAATGCAAACTTCATAATATAACATAATTCTTGCCATAACTCAATGAGCATTAAATAATGTGGTATTGGCCTGATAAATATTAACAATTAAAAGCAAAAGAAATCCTTGTAATGTATCATTTCCCTTCAAAAGAATACATGAAATTAAACAAACAAGATTCAGTTCAAATCACTCAGCAATCCAAGAGATATGATAAGCATTTGGCCAGTACCAAAAAAGAATACCATGAATGTAGCGAAAATCGAAACATTTAGAAACTAGTTTTCCATCAATGCTTTTGAGGGAAGGAACGAAAAATACAAATTTGGTGTTGTCTAGGTGTTGGTAGCCCTAGTGTAAATTTGCTGGCTGGCATGCGCAGCTATCATTCTAATGGCACCTCTGGCCATCAAATCCTTAATTGCTTGGCGTGCAAGTGAACCATTAATCTGAAGAAAAGAAAAGTAAAAAGATAAAACATAAATTCATTGCATCATAGAGAGTCAACCAATTGCTTCAAAAAAAAGAAAGTAAACAACAAGAATGGAGCATGATTTCTCGTACAACTAATTCTTTCCCAAAATAATTCATGGTTTAAACATATAAAGTCCCAAATGGCACAAACAAGATTCATTCTAGTTGAGCCACAATTCAACAGTCACAATTGTAACTAAACTGATTAAAGATATTCTGGAAAACAATTAGATTCACTGGGAATATAGAATTTGTCAATGATACAAAGAGCAAAGATAAAATAAAGATATTGGAAAACCTACAGCCCATTACAAAGGCTCATCTGCAAGATGTATACTACTAATATCAATTAATGTTTAATTAATTAATCTGGAACTTCACTAACATGACCAGCAAATTGCAGAACTACTAAAAGGAAACCGCTGTCCTACCAAATTTTCAACTAACATATGATATAGTTACTACTAATCATAATTTTAGCACCAAAAAAGAATCATAAATGAACATTTAATCTCAGATATCAGACTATACTCAAAACTTCTTTCTCTACCCACACTACCTTACTTGTTTGCATATGCAATCTCAGTGGCCATCTTTTAATAGCAAAAGCTAATAAATTCCAGAGAAGGGAAAACAAAATTTACAGAATAACTTTATTTCCCTTTTTAACTTCCCATTCCAAGAGTGACCTCAAAAAACAGAACAATACTCAATCAGCAATACATGAATTATATAGATTATCAAGGACTTTACAAATCAAGTTTGTCCACAAAATAGTATCATGACATTGTGGAACAGAAATTGCTCATTTGAAAAACCTAGCAATCAAAAACTATTTAGTATTCTAACTAGCTCAAAGGTTAGCATTACAGGATCAACCTAGTAACTGATACAGCAACAAGAGAATAGAGATATATTAAATCTATCAATGGACATTATGATGATACAGTAATAACACAAGACCACAAGAAAGAAACTGATAGTGAGTAACCTACCCTCAATCTGTCAGACAAAATTGAAGGAGTAACAAGCTTGTACTTGGGAACTTCACTAAGAAGCTTGTCATAAGTTGCCTGATCAAACAAAACCATGTTGTTCACCTTCTCCTTTTGCTTTCCTTTGCTCCATTTCTATAAAAACAAGCATTATTCGCAACACAAGCCACTTTAAAACAACTTGAAAATACTAAATATCTAACTGCAAGAAGCTTCCATCCATTCCCAGAATATCCAACAAGTTCCACAAAACACCAAAATAATAATAATAATAATAATAACCAGAAAGAAACAACAAAGAAACTAAAATCCATATATAAAAATAAAAAACACCAACATCATTGTAAATTTAATTCGCAAAAACACCAGTGGAGATTGCATTTCAATATTACGAGTTCAACGTTTAAGCTAAATCTCAGGTTTTTAAATTCACGATTACAAATTTGGAGTTAATGCTACGAGTTCAAATAACATTAACAATGCCAATGCAGACGGCAAAACCACAACCCTAATAGAAAGGAAACCATAAATCAGTTACCTTCTTCTTCTGTTTGCCGCCACCGGATTTCGCCGGCTTCGATGACGGAGGTGGAGCCTTATCCTTCTTCGGCGCCTACAATAAATACCCATCAAAATTTAATTAGAAAGAGAATTTACAAACAAGAAAAAGAAAAATGTTTAACTTTTTCTCATTTTTTTCTGTTTTCGTACCATTGTAGCTGATGACTGAGTTCCTTGAGTTAGGGTTTTAGAGCAAAAAGAGAAATTTTATCTGGGGTTGCAGAGAAGTTAAATATGGAGGATTACTAGGGTTTTTGAAGAGGGACTGGTACAAAAGGTGGTGTTTGGAAACTCGAACAGCTGTATTAGGTTCGGATTTAGAGGGAATGGGCCTATCCGTGGATTTTAATTATGGTTTTGTGACTTTTGTCTTGAGTGATACTGAATACACCCATATATTTTACTAAACAGCCTCCTTACTTGCACGAATAAGGGTAAAATTATGAATAGTTCAAAATGAAATGGTATTTCACATTTATTTGTTTTCTTATTCTCTAAACCCTATAACCTGATAAAAAATAAACTTGTATATGTAAGTAGAGAAACTATTAAATGAAAGAGGAAATACTGGATTAACTTGACACATTATTCATCAATTAAGCAGCCTATATATAGGCATTACAACTCAACGTTCTACCACCAAACTAGGAACTCATCTGAACATGCAAAACAGTATCCTCCTATAGACCAGGTAAAACTAAAGACCAGGTAAAACTAAAGACCAAGCTAATGACCATAACAAATCTTGACACGTACTAAAATCCACTAACAAATTCCTATAGACCCGGTTAATAACAATAAACCACATCTTGCAACAATAAAGGAAATAGAAGAAACAATTCCTAAAGACTAGGACAAGAATAACAGACCCACATGATGACATTTTCAACAATCCCTCTCTCAAACTGATGTTTTCAAACACTTAGTTTAATACATATCAACAGCCAAACACCCTCTAATCACGATCTTGCAAAGTGCAGACATCGAGTAACTTCCTCAACTTCTGAAACGCAAGCAATTTGAGGGGTTTGGTAAATATGTCAGCAACTTGGTCTTCACTTCTGCAGTAAACAAGATCAATAACTCCATCTTTTGTGTGGTTTCTTAAGAAATGATACTTAACATCAATGTGCTTGCTTCTTCCGTGCAAAATAGGATTCTTGGAAAGTTTAATTGTTGAACTATTGTCACAATAAAGTATAGTGGGTTCTTGTTGTTTGAAGTGCAACTCCTCAAGAATTTTCCTCAACCAAATGGCTTGACAAGCACATGCAGTTGCAGCTACAAGCTCTGCTTTTGTTGTTGATAAAGTAACAATCGGTTGCTTCTTTGAACTCCATGAAACAGCTGCTGAACCTATCATGAATACATAGCCAGACGTACTCTTTCTATCGTCAAGATCACCTGCATAGTCACTGTCAGTAAAACCAAACAAATCTGACTTTTCATTATAGAACAACCCATATTCAATGGTTCCTTGCAAGTACTGAAAAATCCTCTTGGCAGCTAAAAGATGCATCTCCTTTGGGCATTCCATGTATCTACTAATGAGACTTACAACATGCATAATATCAGGCCTTGTGGCGGTCAAATACATCAAGCTTCCCACAATTTGCTTGTAAAGGGTGCTGTCAACCTTCTTTCCTTCAGGATCTTTGATGAGCTTCAAACCCACTTCAGATGGCGTGCTAACAGAATTGCAATTCTTCATTTGAAACCAGTCTAGAATTTCTTGCACATACTTCTTTTGAGAAATAAAAATACCAACAGCAGATTGCACCACTTCAATATCGAGAAAATAATGCATTTTTCCAAGATCAGTCATTTCAAATTCAATCATCATAGACTATTTAAAATTTTCAATCATGGCACTATCATTTCCCGTATAAATTAAATCATCCACATATAAACAAACAATGAGCATTTTTCCTCCATCTCTAATTTTTGTAAAAAGCGTATGCTCATATGGACATTTCTTAAACCCTTCCTTAGAAAAATAAGCATCTATACGACTATACCAAGCTCTTGGAGCTTGTTTTAGTCCATATAGTGTCTTTTTTAATTTATACACCTTATGCTCACTTCCAAGCTTCACATAACCAGGAGGTTGATCAATAAATACCTGTTCTTCCAAGTCTCCATGTAAGAAAGCTGACTTCACGTCCAACTGGAAGATAGGCTATGAGTTTTCTGCTGCTAAAGCGATCACCAATCTGATTGTATCATGCCTAGCTACAGGAGCAAACACTTCTTTATAGTCAACACCAAACTCTTGCTTATACCCTTTAGCTACTAAGCGCGCCTTATACTTGTCAATTTCACCATTTTCCTTCAATTTTGTCTTGTACACCCATTTGACACCAATTGCTTTGTGTCCTATTGGAAGATCAGTCGACTCCCAAGTATTGTTTCGTTCAATGGCTGCCATTTCTTCATCCATCGCCTTGTGCCATTTTGATTCTTTGATAGCTTCTTCATAAGCTGTAGGATCACAATCAGCAAATAAGGCAAAATGTGTGAGTGGGTCCTCATCAGATTCATCAATTACCTCATAATCTATCATCCACGCTGGTCTTTTTCTAACTCGTTGAGGCCTTTGTTCTCCAACTTCTTCAACCACAGGTAGGCTTTGTGAATCATTCTGAGTTGCTGCCATAGGTTGCTGCCTTTTCTCATCACTCTCACCATCAAAATCCGCTGGAATATGTTGTCTAACAACATTGTCACTCCATGGCCAGGTCTTTTCTTCATCAAAGACAACATCACGACTAATTACAATTTCTTAGTGCTAGGATTGTATAGCTTATAAGCTTTTGATTGATCACTAACACCAAGAAAAATGCATTTTTCTCCCTTGTCATCTAGCTTTTTCCTCTTCTCATCTGGAATATGGACATAAGCAATACATCCAAAAATTTTGAAATGATCTACAGCCGATCTTCGTCTGCTCCATGTTTCCTCCGGTTTCATATTTTGAACAGCAAGAGTGGGACTTCTATTCAAAATATGAATGCTCCAGTTAACAGCTTCAGGCCAAAAAGTTTTCGGAATGCCACTCCTCATTAAAAGACTTCGCACCATATTCAAAATAGTGCGATTCTTCCTCTCACAAACTCCATTTTGTTGAGGCGTATATGCTATTGTAAGTTGCCTCTTAATTCCATGGGTCCCACAAAAATTTGCAAATTCAAGTGAGTTGTATTCTCCACCATGATCAGTACGAAGAACTTTTATTGGACTACCAACTTCTTTCTCAACACGTACTTTATAATTTTTAAAGGCTACAAAAGCTTCAGATTTCTCCTGCAAAAAATACACCCATGTTTTTTGACTATAATCATCAATGAAGGTAATTATGTATCGTTTACCTCCATTAGAGGATGGATTAATTGGCCCACAAATGTCAGAATGAACTAGCTCCAATGGCTTCTTTGCTCTCCAAGATTTTCCTTGTGGAAATTGATTACAGTGTTGTTTACTAACAACGCATTCTTCACAAACTTGAGATGGAGCAATAACTTGAGGAAGACCCGTCACCATGTTCTTTTGTTGTAGTATTCTCAATCTGCCAAAATTGAGATGCCCATAGCGAAAATTCCATAACCATGCATCGTCATTTAGTCTTGCAAATAAGCATGAATGAGTGGTGTTTTGAAGATACAGCGGAAACATTCGATTTGCCGTCATGTTAACTTGAGCAATTAGGCCTAACTTTGCATCTTGTATACGACATACTCCCTCTTTGATGGAAATCTCATACCCTTTTTCTTGCAGCTGACCCACACTAAGTAAGTTGGTCTTCAAGTCTGGAACAAAAAGAACATTAGAAATGGTCTGAGTAGAATTTCCCTTGGTTTGGATTGACACCCTTTCTTTTCCCATAACTGACACTTTAGAATTGTCACCAAACTTCATATTATTATGAAATGACTCATCCAAATCAGAGAATGCAGACTTGTCTCCACACATATGATTGTTGCAGCCTGTGTCTAAGTACCACAAATTCTTGTTGGTTTCCTCCTTTGCATGACAAACCATTAATAAGGATACTTCTTCTTCCTTCTCTGCAAGATTAGATATCTCTCCATGTTGTCTATTCAGATTAGTTCGGCATTCAGATTTGTAGTGGCCATACTGATGACATCTGTAGCACTCCACATTGAACTTGTCTGCTGATCTTGGTCTATAAGAAGTCGAGTGGTGGCCTCCTCGTCCTCTTCCTCTTCCTTGAAATTGATTATCTTGGTATTGGTTTCCTCGATCATTGTTTGCTCTACCTCTGCCTCTATTGCCTCGTCCTCCTCTTTTGCTACATGCATCTCTGTTGCCTCTACCTCTTCTTCCTCTACCTCGATCTGCTGATTGATTATGTGTCGTAGCATTGTTGTTAGTTGAAGCTTTCAGAGCTTGCTCCTCATTGTCCTACTGGATCAACTTGTGCTCATGTACCAGTAATGAACCTTGGAGTTCATTAATTGAGAGCTGATCAAGGTCCTTTGACTCTTCAATTGAACACACCACATAATTGAACTTTGGTGTCATCGATCGAAGTATTTTCTCGATTACTTTTACGTCATCTATCTTTTCACCATGAATCCGCATTTTGTTGATAATTGTCATTGTTCTTGAGAAAAAATCAGAAACCGACTCTCCTGGTTTCATACGGAGTAATTCAAACTCTGTATGGAGTGCTTAGAGCTGCTGCCTCTTTGCTCTTGTTGTTCCTTGGTGCTTCTTCTTCATGGAATCCCAAATATGTTTGGAGGTGTCCTTGCAAAGAATGGTTTCCAGGATTGAGCGATCAATAGCTTGGAAAAGATAGTTCTTTGCTTTGAGATCCTTCAATCGCTGCCCATCAAGTTCAATTTTCTGCTGGTCTGTTAAAACTGTGCCTGCTGCTGGTTCTGCTACTCCATTCTCAACAATCTGCCAATACTCTTTAGACCTCAAGAAGTTCTCCATCAACATGCTCCAATGGTAATAATGACCATCAAAGCGTGGAATTGCAGGTTGCACAAAGTTTTCTGAAGCCATTGTTTGCTGCTACTGCAAAAAAAAGAAAGGAACAAAGCTACTGCTCTACTTCTATATCTCACATACTCTCATGTCTCCCGTATTCTCCCTGTCTTTTGACTCACTCAATCTCTCCTGTTTAAACTTACTCTTGGCAGCAGTGTCTCACGAACTCCTTCTCTCTTGGCTCACCCTTTTTTTTTTTTTCTCACCCAGTTGTCACTCTCTAGCTCGGATACCACTGATAAAAAATAAACTTGTATATGTAAGTAGAGGAACTATTAAATGAAAGAGGAAATACTGGATTAACTTGACACATTATTCATCAATTAAGCAGCCTATATATAGGCATTACAACTCAACGTTGTACCACCAAACTAGGAACTCATCTGAACATGCAAAACAGAAAATAAAGACACGTATCCTCCTATAGACCAGGTAAAACTAAAGACCAAGCCAATGACCATAACAAATCTTGACACGTACTAAAATCCACTAACAAATTCCTATAGACCCGGTTAATAACAATAAACCACATCTTGCAACAATAAAGGAAATAGAAGAAACAATTCCTAAAGACTAGGATAAGAATAACAGACCCACGTGATGACATTTTCAACATAACCTACAAACCACAACATTATAACACAATATATTACAAATATGATTTTGTGGGTATTACAACAATATGGACCTAAACTTTGAATTATGGTTTAAAAGTTGACAGAGAACATGAATTTAGGAAAGGGATAATGTTAAAGATTATGTAATAGTTTTTTAAGTTTGGTGGCAGAAAATGTAAAAAATACACATAACTAGCTCTAGGTGGTCGAATGGTTCGATAATGACTTTTGAGTGTGTTACTCAATAGATCATAAGTTCGAATACCTCATCGATTGCTAATAGGGATAGCAACTGGAGTTCTTACCCAATCAATAGTTCCAGGGCCCTGAGAGATTATTTGAAGTGTGCAAAAGTTGGCCCGAACACTCCCAATCATAGGAAAAAAAAATGTAAAACACACATAAACTTCATGAGCAGGAAGGTGAGAAATGGAGAAAACAAATACGTGTAATTAAGGGGCAAAAGCATGACTAGAAGCACAATTTAATAGCACTGGAAAACACACATAAACTTCATGAGCAAGAAGGTGAGAAATGGAGAAAACAGATAGGTATAACTATGGGAAAAGCGTGACTAGAAACACAATCTAATAGCTTAGGTGATAGATATTAGTTTCATTAAAGAGTATCGCATAAACTGGTCCGAATACCTTTGATCATTAAAATATATATATGCAAATATATATAACACATAAACTTCATGATTAGAAGGTGAGTAAATGTGACTCATTTTATAACTTGATAGGATTATTGGAAGTTTCACTACAATCAGGATTGGATAGACTGCTAATAAATTCGTTTGCCTTTTAATTTAGCATTGGCAATCTAACTGGAGATAACCAACAATTGCCTCATCTACTCAGAAATAATACGACGGAGTTTCAAAATGTATTTAATATCGCAATAGAAATTTCAAAACAGATTCAATCTATGTGTTAAAGTTACATTCTCGTTTGTGTATTATGTTTGAATGGAAGTCCGAACGAGGGTTCTTGAAAGATTTGCTTTACTCTCATCAAATCTAACCAGAAATGAGAAATATGATTTTATAGAATTAATAAAATGAAATGGCATTGCTTTGAGTTTGGAATTATATATATGTTTAATGGCCAATGAGATCATAATAAACTGGTATTCAGATTCAGAATCCATTCACACCCTTTTTAAAGTAATTAATTTTTCATCCACCAAATTCATGACACATGTTTCCTTCTTTATTCTCTTCTTTCTTTTATCATTCTCTTGTTTCTTTCTTCCCCACCCCCCACTGCTTTTAATTTTCTACACAGATCACTTTGGCAATACTTTATGTCTTCCTTCACCTGAAAATGAAACACAAATCAGTAATATACAAATGCTTTAATTTTGGTATATATTTATATATATAGTCAATCTCCAGTATTAACGTTCTAGAGTTTTTAACGTGCGGATCGGATCAAAAGTAAGCAGTTAATCTCTATCTTTAACAAATCCAAAATCAAAAAGCTAATAACCTAACTTTGATCCGCATATTAAAAACTTCGAGACATCGCAGCTAGAATTTTTCCAACTGTTTCTTTTAGCAGCTTGACCCAGCAAAATAAAGCAATAATAATCTAGGATATGGAATGAGATAAGGATTGAGAAGTGCCAAAAAGTGATGATCTTGTTAAAAGCATAATAAAAGAATTCTCACAATTGGCGAAAACCAGTGGCTAATAAATACCACCATAAACATTTAATTCTTTTCTTCACGTATGTCTTTCTGCTATATAAAGAATTATTAAAAGATAAAAACTAGGTAACTTATTTAGTAACTCTTTACGTGGAGAGTCTCAGTCTGTGATTCTTAATATTTAATATTTAATATATAAATACAGTGAAGAAGAAAAAGCAAAACAAGGAAATAAAGTAGTTTGTGTTTGTGGCCCAGGAGGACAAATGGATACAGCCTTTAAACATCAGCAAAGCCAAAACAATGTCCCTGAAATTGATTCCTGATTAATATTACTGTATTGATAAGACCACTTTGGTTGATGATTATCCTCTTCTACTTTCAAGATTCTATATATGTATTTGTTTATTAACAGTAAAGTAATTGAGACAGAAAGAAAAATGGCAGCTTGCTAACTAGCAGTATATATAAGGAGTATTAGATAAGGTGTAAAAGGTCTACCTCTTTTGCATGCATGGGAAGAAGAAGCAGCCAAATGGGAAGTCAAAAGATTTGTTTGCTGCTGGTTGTGCTTTTCATGAATCTTCACATGCTTGCTGCAGCTTCCAGTCCTCTTCATAAGAAGGCTTTTTCTTCAGGTAATTATAAACTTTTAGCTCTTGTTATAGCCGCCTTATTATGTAAAAGAACATAGTTTTTATATGGGTTTTTATTGCTTTTGCTTAGTATTGAGTTGCTCAGTGTCAGAAACTCAGTCATAGAGCCGATGAGATAGATTGAAATTTCTGAGATTCATGCACACACACACAAGGGTTTACATTTCCAGGCTGCAAAAGTATCAGTAGAAATATTTAATATCAAAAACTCACATGCAGCAGCCAACAGAGAACTTGAGGATAGAATAAATATAGTTTTCCAGCACTTGAAGTCTTGCATAAATAATCATCTGAAGAAACATATATTTCACAATTTACAAGTTCTCTCTTTGATATTCAGAAATCTCCTACAGTAACTTTTTCCTAAATAAAACCAAATCAAGGACATAATTATTCAACCCAACCCTTTTGATGTAATTGAAGTTTGATTTTGTGCTTGTCTTAAGCATCAAACAATGAATTTGAAGAACAAAACAAGAAGCTATTGACAAATTCTTCTGGTTGTTCTTAAATTGTGATAAGATATGCAACTTTCTTCAATAATTTCATAATACACCTCATATTCGTACTAAAATTAAATAAAATTTCGCCATGGACCAATGGATTCCACTTGAAGTGCCTTTTCTAAAGCAAAAGTTATACTTTTGAAGTTGACATATCCTATTTGCCCACCATAATCAACACTTATAATGGTGTATCTTATTTTATTTCAAGTTTCGGAGTTTTGTGTTAATTAAGGACAGTTTTATAAGAAAAGAAGAAGTAAGAATCTATCTGCAGTATATTAATGTATGCAACTATAAATGATGTAATCAAATTCTTCTCTTTCTTCAAGAACTAAAATTACTTACATATATATCCTTAAAAGTCATGTCATTTTTAGAAACCAAAAACATCAACAGATTTTCTTACAGTCATTTTCTTTCTTTATTTATATAACAAAATACAGATGCCTAACTCATTCATGGGTATCCAAGGTCAGCTTACTTTTTTTTATTTTTTGTCTTGGGTCAAAATCAAATTAATAATGGAAAGCATAAAAATTAAAATCAAATATGAAAATAGTTATGTCAAGATTCTTGTCTCCCACAAGAAAAGTTTGTCCTAGTAATAGTGCAAATTTCATTTCAAGTGAGAGGAGATTGTTTGGCATCAGTACATGAAACTTTCACTACAATAATTAAGCTTGGAATATAATTAACTGCTGTACGGTCAACACTGAGAATATTTTTTGGAATATGAATAAAATTACACCCTAAATAATGTTCTAGAGGTCTTGAAAATTCATCACCAATTTTCCTCCTCTCTTCTCACACACGTAGAACCTCCATCTTATTCCCCTCTATTTTTGATGTTAACTCATCATTAAAATACAAAAGCTTAAAGCTTAAGCTAATAGATAAAGACTTGTTCACATTGAAATAGAATCTCGATATAATACCTTCTGAAATTTCCATTAAATCCGTAAGCAGTCAGTTTAAGCTGGTAAGCGACGGCTAAAACAGTAGTTTTAAATACTATATCAATTGACTGATTGAGAGACGGACAACTATTGAATATTTAGTGGGCAACAAGAAGGCAACATAATAACTGTTTCTCTATTTGTTCTAGACACGGTTGCTAACTCCCAACACAAATTCTATCTACAGATTCTTCGGAGGATATTGATCAGGGTAATAAACATGTACCTGAACATGAACATGGCACGGGAACAGCTAAAGTTGATCACTATGCCAGAAGTGATATTGTAGAAAGCAGCAAATTTGCCCATGGCACCGGAGGAGCACATGCTGGGGGTGGATCACCTGGTTTTGGTGAACACGGAAGTAATGGTGGTTCTGGAACACCTTATGTACAAGGAGGCACCACCATCATCCCCATATATGCCGGGGGAGCAGCAAGTAACCACCACCCAAACACACACCGCAATGCCGTCAGCTGCAACCAGAGTTCAACTGGATTTCTCACCCTGATCTTGACTGCCGTTGCCTGGTTTGTACATTTATAAAGTGGATAGGAAAACTAGACCAATCCATCCTTCTAGTGCAAGAGAGTTTTTATTTGCTTGTGTAAGACATGTATGTAGAAACTGTGAATGTGTTTTCATTAATGTAAACGTCCTAAATTAAAGTGTCTTGTAAATGTCAGTGAACCTGTATCAGCTGTTCAATATATATTTTTCTATTATATTTCTCTTTGTAAATGTTTTGGTGTAGTAGATTGTATTATCATAATGCAAACAACGTTTGATGCAAACTAATATGCTTTCAACTTGGGGAGATAAATGTTCAAGCTTTTTTCAAGTGCATGCAAATCCATATTGATGTCTTGTGAATATGGGTGTGTGCACATGTGTGAGAGAGAGGGATGGAACACAAAACTGGCTGGAATATATCTCAATTCCAACAACAACAGAATTATAATTGAGAATCTTGACTCCAATGATAAGAAACAAGAATTTGATTTTGTTAGAATCCCACATTGAAAGGGAAAAGGGTGGGCATGTGGGTTATAAAGGCTTGGGCACCCTCCTTTGGCAAGCCGGTTTTCCAAGGAGAGTTCTACCCAAGCCCATGAAAGACCCATGACTAGCCCAATTGTTGAGTATTGGAGTGGGTTCCTATCAATTGGTATCAAAGCATGATTCTGTGCCTATGTGACAGCGCACGCGTGGCAGGCGACCCGTGGCATGCTGACCTGGGCCCGGACTGCTACCCCGAGAAAGAGACAGGAGGCGAGGGAAAAGGGGATCCGCGTAGTCACCAAGGGGTTAAGAGGCCGACGTGGACGTCGGTTGCGGAAGCGTGCTGGAATGTTGGGATCCCACATTAAAAGGGAAAAAGGTGGGCATGGGGTTATAAAGGCTTGGGCACCCTCCTTGACAAGCAGTCAGTTTCTAAGGAGAGTTCTACCCAAGCCCATGAAAGACCCATGGCCGAACAAAATGTTGAGTTATTGGAGTGGGTTCCTATCAATTGGTATCAGAGCATGATCCTGCGCCTATGGCAGCGCACGCGTGGCAGGCTGACCTGTGGCAGGCTGACCTTGGGCCGGGCTGCTGCTACTCGAGAAAGGGCATGGAGGCCCGAGGGAAAAGGGGATGCGTAGTCACTAAGGGGTAAAAAGGCCGACGGGGTTAGAGGCCGACGTGGACGTCGGTTGCGGAAGCGTGGTGGAATGTTGGGATCCCAACATGAAAGGGAAAAGGTGGGCATGTGAGTTTAAAGGCTTGGGCACCCTCCCTTGACAAGCCGTTTCAAGGAGAGTTCTACCCAAGCCCATGAAAGACCCATAGCCCAACCCAAATTGTTGAGTTATGAAGTGGGTTTCCTATCAATTGGTATCAGAGCATGATCCTGCGCCTTGTGGCAACGCACGCGTGGCAGGTGACCTTGGGCCGGGCTGCTACCCCGAGAAAGGGTATAGAGGCCGAGGGAAAAGGGGATCCGCATAGTCACCCAAGGGGTAAAGAGGCCGACGTGGACGTCGGTTGTGGAAGCGTGGTGGAATGTTGGGATCCCACATTGAAAGGGAAAAGGGTGGGCAGTGGGTTATAAAGGCTTGGGCACCCTCCCTTGGCAAGCCGGTTTTCCAAGGAGAGTTCTACCCAAACCTTGAAAGACCATGGCCCAGCCTAAATGTTCAGTTATTAGAGTGGGTTCCTATCAGTTTTTATGTGGATTAAGGAAAGAAACCAATGGAGGGACGATTAGGAAAAAGTAATTAAACAAAAGGCTGAAACAAAACAAGTAGGGCAAATTCTGCACCTTTTCCCCTCAAGTTTTTCGGACTTCTCATCCTGTTCATTATATGCAAGGTTGGACCAGTAGTTCATGCTAGCAGAATACACACGAAGACCACACTACAACTAAGCATCATATCCATGGAATAAAGAAATGTAGAAAATTACAGTATTAAAAATTTTAAAGCACAAATGTCAGTACTATAAAAACCAAAAGAGCATTCAGTCCACTAAATCCTTCTATTAAGTCACTGAAAGAAAACAAAGGATGGATAAGATTCATATGGTTATTACCGCAATAAACATCTCGAACAAAATTACTCTTATAAAATTACAAGTTACCCAAAATAAACATCTCGAATATGTGGATATGTTCGTTCTACTTATATCATCCAGTCAAATTTTGATTCTACTGCAATTTTAGTTAAGAATGCAGTCTAATGTTCTACAGTCTTTCACCTTCCTCATCAATAAGAGATTAAAACGAAGCCACAATTGATTATTCACAAATTTTGATCTATAAGAAAAACAAAGGAATAAACAAAGATCTTTCAACAAATAATGATCACCTTCACTTAGAAATGAGTTAGTTGCTCAAGTTTGCGAGTCTCGAAAAACTTGCACCGCCCTTTACCACTTGATTCAATATTTCACTTCTCCTCTTGGATGAGGTGAAACCAACATTGCTTAATTTCAATTGCCGCTTGCCACTGCTTCTGTTGAAACCATCTCCATCATTTCTTCAGACTCCCTAAACAACACGCAGAGTAAAATTAAAATGCAAAAGCACCTCCCAGATATTTTATCAATTGTAGCTTTGACATATAGATATCGGGAGTAGAAGAATTGGTAAAATGCGAGTAGTGAATTGTACTTGATATGCATAATTGCTAGAAAAATGCATTGGTAATGGAGCATAAGCTACAACCATGTTCTGAATTTTGAAAACAAAGTGGATATAATATGCAGAACAAACTTTTAAAAAAAAAAAAAAAAAAAAATTGGGGCCAACAGCCTAATTTAAGGAGTTTCAGGATTGGATGACTACATTTCAGGATGTTAAGGGCCAGAGAAATGCACTGCCTGAATTAAGAACAATGACAAAGCAAGTAAATAGGAAGTGGAAAGCACCCAGGAAAAGAGAAATTACACACAGGATAAGATTTTCAATTCAACTGGCTAGACATTGGGCATTTAATGACCTTCATTACTTTAAACATACTACCCAGGATAAGTAACATCAAGTAAAGGGATAAAAGTTCGCTCATTTTCAAGATTCTTGTTTTCTTTGTGGCCAATGTTTTTCCTATTTGGACTTCCAAAGGCATAAACAAACCAACGCCAGAAGACTTCATATTTTGAAACAGATAATTATCATCACCAGAGACATAATAGTTAGAATTGCTATTATAGCCTTTGATACTTATCAAACTACACCAAGTTGAATATTATTGAAAGAAAATGTATTATTTGCATATAATTAAGAAGAAGAAACATTAGAGATTTCAATACTATCTCACATTCCCAACCATCATTTCTCCATGCTACATATGGCTTAGGAGAGGAAAAAGCGCTCTAAACCCTACAATTGCAGGATTCCCACTCATGTCTCTGGTTATAGGAGGTGTATCGTTTTGTCAATAAAACATAATTGATGAGGCATCAGAGTGCATGTAGTAACTAAATCGATTAAAAAACAAACAATAAGCAAACACTCTGAATTAAGCAAGAGAAACCATATTTTTACACTGCATAGAGCATAAAGTAGATGGGCAATATTGCAGGCAGACACACAGTAATACCAAATTCATAAAAGATTATGAGGAATGTTGAATGAGGACTAACCACAAGACTTCAACACCGTCTTTGGAATAAGAAGTGCATGTACCCCAACTGAAACGGACCAACGACGGAAATCCAAATACAAAGTGTTTGTGATCTTCCAACCAGGCCTTGGTTACGGGATCTGAACACATGAAAACATACCATATCCATCATATTAGAATAACCGTTTCAAAGTTTTAAACAGACTACAATAATGAGAATTAAGCATTTTTCACCTCCAGGGTATCCAGAACCAAAGTTCGTATGCATATTTTCAGCTGTTTCCTCAAGCATCCATGCTCTCAAAGCTTGATCTCTGGTGACCTACTTCAGCAATAAAAATATAATTAATCTTACAACTTAAAATTGAGGAGATTTGGAGAAGAGGGAGCTTGTTACCTTGGCAACTATGCTTGCACCACTAACAACTGGATAGAGACTATCAGCTTTCTTTGCAACAACAAATTTGATGGAAGGAAATCTTTCAGACAGTTTTATTCTATACTTCTCCGCGTCTCCCACGGTATCCAAATAAACCTGAAATATAAAAACAAGTAGAATTATTCCTCTTCTATGATGCCATTACTGACATTGAGCTATGAGTTTAAAAGAGTTGTTAACTTCACCTCAGTTAGAAGAACTCCCATGTTTAGCACCCTAGTGATCAAGCCAATTGCAGAGTCATGTGAAATCTCATTCAGGTTTATCTTATTTCTGTCAACCAAAACAGGGGGGGATTGAGAAAAAGGAAACTCTTCAAAAGCCAGAAAATCAATATTATAAACAGTACAAACTTATTGAGCATTTTAGCTGAAAGCTCCCTAGGATCAATGACATCCACAGCCCATCCAATTGATTCATTAGCCTTCAATTCCTCAAATAATTCTTCCCTCTTCTCTTCCTTTAATGTCTTCGAATCTGCAGGCAGTTTAACAAAAACTTTAGAGCCCAAAAACCAATAATTTGATGAAACGATATCATAGAGGAAAACAGCTTGCACTTATCACTTCTGCTCCACAAATTGTAGTACCACAGAACATCCGCGAACTATGCCTCTAAAGGAAAGACAGTTATATTCTGAACTAATATAAGATATTCCAACCATTTTTAGTTTATATGACGTAGTTTGTAAGTGTGTCAAGTTATGCAGTCAATCTGCAGCATCACATACAACACAAGACATGAAAAAACCAAGCCTCAGCTTAGAAGAGAGCAGAAAACAACAAAGTAAAAGAACCAGGGCAAGAGGTGCAGAGCTCTTTTTCTCAAAAAAATATCTAGTAAAAAGAAAAGGCATATATCCTGAAGAAATTATTGATACAAGTTTCCAGCAAGAGAAGAAATTAAGACACTGAAAGCTAACAAATAGGGAACATTCAACTCATTTGAACACTTTAACTATTTTCGAGAAATCAAATCACTTAAAAACAAAGGTTAACATATTGGTTTCCCATTAAATCCCACATGTTGCAGTAAAAGCCACATCCCACTACTCATGCTATGCAAATAATTCAAGCTTGAAATTTGACCAAAAAAGGAACTGATAGAAAAATGGCATAACTTAATAACAGTCATAGAAATAACATGAATCTGACATTTAAAAGCACAAAATTGACAAATTAAACCTAACTATCCTCTCCACTTCATGCATACAAAACCAGACCCATTAAAAATAAATGGAAGGAAAAGTTGTAGAGTCAAACCTGCAAAGTTCAAGGTGGAAAGAGTCTTCTGATAGGAGCGAGCACAGTACAAGCATCCGTACACCATAGGACCTGAAACAAACAAAACATTTTCAGAAAACAGAAGTAAAGAAAGAAGCAAATGTATGAAAGCAAACAAAAATTGACCTAAAACGGGGCCACGGCCAGCTTCGTCGATGCCCATAATGCAAGGCTTTGATGCCCATTCTGGGACTGGGAGAGCTGCTTCCGATCGCATTACTCACACAGTCTCAGTCGCCTCTGCTTTGGAGGCTTCAACTTTACCAACTCTGATTCCCGCCAGAAAGGACAAAAGGACAAAAGGTTGTGTGCTTCAGTAATTTTCGGTTTTAGTAAGGGAAAATTGGGTATCGTCTGAGACCTCAGGGGGTTTATTAATATTTTTTATTTTATTTTAAAGTAAATTATTTTAATAATTAAAATAAATAGAAGGATGAGATACTTTAATTTAAATTTTTTACCTAAATTCTGAACTCAAATTTTAATCCATTCATTCATTGCATGGTATATATATCTAATGAAGTGTAAGCATAAAATATCATTTTTTTTTTCATTTTAATCATTAAATCATGATAAAAGATAAATAAACAAATGAAATTTAAGTAACTATATATTCGCAAATTTTCAACGTGCAAATCAATGGTTACATTAAATTATTGATTTTTTCGTTTATAAAAATCATTGATGTTAATTTTTTTTTTATGATCAGGGGTATCCGAGCCAGTTTGTACGCATCCCAACTAATCTTTCAAAACTTAAGAACTATCAGTCGGATAACAAATCCAATGGCTACCCTTATTAATAACCAAGAAGAGATTTGAACTTAAAACCTCTTAAATAATACACCCAAAAGTCTATGCATCAGTCGAAAAATTAACTCAAATAATATTTTACATAGTAAGTTTTATCGTTGTTTATTATCATAATGAGCAAGGGAGGTTTTTCAAAATAATTTATAAAATTGATAATAAAATAATAAGCTTGAACCTTTATCTTTTTAAACAAATGATTTACCAAACTATTTGAACTTGTTTAACTTACAAAATAAGTAGAGTAAGCCCCAAATAAATATTATCTTGATTACAATAATTTCAAACTTTAATTATTAGAAAGATATAAAATATTCACTAATCTTATTATCTATTTTTTTTATTTTAATTTTCCCAGAGCAATCCTGTCACACATATTTTTTAATGCACTTTGATAAAAAATAAACTGTATATGTAAGTAGAGAAACTATTAATGAAAGAGGAAATACTGGATTAACTTGACACATTATTCATCAATAAGCAGCCTATATATAGGCATACAACTCAACGTTCTACCACCAAACTAGGAACTCATCTGAACATGCAAACAGAAAAAAAGACACGTATCCTCCTATAGACCAGGTAAAACTAAAAACCAAGCCAATGATCATAACAAATCTTGACACGTACTAAAATCACTAATAAATTCCTATAGACCCGGTTAATAACAATAAACAATCTTGCAACAATAAAGGAATAGAAGAAACAATTCCTAAAGACTAGGACAAGAATAACAGACCCACATGATGACATTTTCAACAATCCCTCTCTCAAATGATGTTTGAAACACTTAGTTTAATACATATCAACAGCCAAACACCCTCTAATCCAGATCTTAAAGTGCAGACATCGAGTAACTCCTCAACTTCTGAAACGCAAGCAATTTGAGGGTTTGGTAATATGTCAGCAACTTGGTCTTCACTCTGCAGTAAACAAATCAATAACTCCATCTTGTGTGGTTTCTTAAGAAATGATACTTAACATCAATGTGCTTGCTTCTTCCGTGCAAAATGGATTCTTGGAAAGTTTAATTGTTGAACTATTGTCACAATAAAGTATAGTGGGTTTCTTGTTGTTTGAAGTGCAACTCCTCAAAGTTTTCCTCAACCAATGGCTTGACAAGCACATGCAGTTGCAGCTACAAGCTCTGCTTTTGTTGTTGATAAGTAACAATCGGTGCTTCTTTGAACTCCATGAAACAGCTGCTGAACCTATCAGAATAACTAGCCAGACGTCTCTTTCTATCGTCAAGATCACCTGCATAGTCACTGTCAGTAAAACCAAACAATCTGACTTTTCATTATAGAACAACCCATATTCAATGGTTCCTTGCAGTACTGAAAAATCCTCTTGGCAGCTAAAAGATGCATCTCCTTTGGGCATTCCATGTATCTACTAATGAGACTTACAACATGCATAATATCAGGCCTTGTGGCGGTCAAATACATCAAGCTTCCCACAATTTGCTTGTAAAGGGTGCTGTCAACCTTCTTTCCTTCAGGATCTTTGATGAGCTTCAAACCCACTTCAGATGGCGTGCTAACAGAATTGCAATTCTTCATTTGAAACCATTCTAGAATTTCTTGCACATACTTTTTGAGAAATAAAAATACCAACAGCAGATTGCACCACTTCAATATCGAGAAAAAATGCATTTTTCCAAGATCAGTCATTTCAAATCACTCATATAGACTATTTAAAATTTTCAATCATGGCACTATCATTTCCCGTATAAATTAAATCATCCACATATAACAAACAATGAGCATTTTTCCTCCATCTCTAATTTTTGTAAAAAGCGTATGCTCATATGGACATTTTCTAAACCCTTCCTTAGAAAAATAAGCATCTATACGACTATACCAAGCTCTTGGAGCTTGTTTTAGTCCAATAGTGTCTTTTTAATTTATACACCTTATGCTCACTTCCAAGCTTCACATAACCAGGAGGTTGATCAATAAATACCTGTTCTTCAAGTCTCCCATGTAAGAAAAGTGACTTCACGTCCAACTGGAAGATAGGCTATGAGTTTTCTGCTGCTAAGCGATCACCAATCTGATTGTATCATGCCTAGCTACAGGAGCAAACACTTCTTTATAGTCAACACCAAACTCTTGCTTATACCTTAGCTACTAAGCGCGCCTATACTTGTCAATTTCACCATTTTCCTTCATTTTGTCTTGTACACCCATTTGACACCAATTGCTTTGTGTCCTATTGGAAGATCAGTCGACTCCCAAGTATTGTTTTCGTTCAATGGCTGCATTTCTTCATCCATCGCCTTGTGCCATTTTGATTCTTTGATAGCTCTTCATAAGCTGTAGGATACAATCAGCAAATAAGGCAAAATGTGTGAGTGGGTCCTCATCAGATTCATCAATTACCTCATAATCTATCATCCACGCTGGTCTTTTTCTAACTTGAGGCCTTTGTTCTCAACTTCTTCAACCACAGGTAGGCTTTGTGAATCATTCTGAGTTGCTGCCATAGGTTGCTGCCTTTTCTCATCACTCTCACCATCAAATCCGCTGGTGGAAATGTTGTCTAACAACATTGTCACTCCATGGCCAGGTCTTTTCTTCATCAAGACAACATCACGACTAATTACAATTTCTTAGTGCTAGGATTGTATAGCTTATAAGCTTTTGATTGATCACTAACACCAAGAAAAATGCATTTTTTCCTTGTCACTAGCTTTTTCCTCTTCATCTGGAATATGGACATAAGCAATCATCCAAAAATTTGAAATGATCTACAGCGATCTTCGTCTGCTCCATGTTTCCTCGGTTTCATATTTGAACAGCAAGAGTGGGACTTCTATTCAAAATATGAATGCTCCAGTTAACAGCTTCAGGCCAAAAAGTTTTCGGAATGCCACTCCTCATTAAAAGACTTCGCACCTATTCAAAATAGTGCGATTCTTCCTCTCACAAACCCATTTTGTTGAGGCGTATATGCTATTGTAAGTTGCCTCTAATTCCATGGGTCCCACAAAAATTGCAAATTCAAGTGAGTTGTATTCTCCACCATGATCAGTACGAAGAACTTTTATTGGACTACCAACTTCTTTCTCAACACGTACTTTATAATTTTTAAAGGCTACAAAAGCTTCAGATTTCTCCTGCAAAAATACACCCATGTTTTTTGACTATAATCATAATGAAGGTATTATGTATCGTTTACCTCCATTAGAGGATGGATTAATTGGCCCACAAATGTCAGAATGAACTAGCTCCAATGGCTTCTTTGCTCTCCAGATTTTCCTTGTGGAAATTGATTACAGTGTTGTTTACTAACAACGCATTCTTCACAAACTGAGATGGAGCAATAACTTGAGGAAGACCCGTCACCATGTTCTTTTGTTGTTGTAGTATTCTCAATCTGCCAAAATTGAGATGCCCATAGCGAAAATTCCATAACCATGCTCGTCATTGTCTTGCAATAAGCATGAATGAGTGGTGTTTTGAAGATACAGCGGAAACATTCGATTTGCCGTCATGTTAACTTGAGCAATTAGGGCCTAACTTTGCATCTTGTATACGACCATACTCCCTCTTTGATGGAAATCTCATACCCTTTTTCTTGCAGCTGACCCACACTAAGTAAGTTGGTCTAAGTCTGGAACAAAAAGAACATTAGAAATGGTCTGAGTAGAATTTCCCTTGGTTTGGATTGACACCCTTTCTTTTCCCATAACTGACACTTTAGAATGTCACCAACTTCATATTATTATGAAATGACTCATCCAAATCAGAGAATGCAGACTTGTCTCCACACATATGATTGTTGCAGCCTGTGTCTAAGTACCACAAATTCTTGTTGGTTTCCTCCTTTGCATGACAAACCATTAATAGGATACTTCTTCTTCCTTCTCTGCAAGATTAGATATCTCTCCATGTTGTCTATTCAGATTAGTTCGGCATTCAGATTTAGTGGCCATATAGACATCTGTAGCACTCCACATTGAACTTGTCTGCTGATCTTGGTCTATAAGAAGTCGAGTGTGGCCTCCTCGTCCTCTTCCTCTTCCTTGAAATTGATTATCTTGGTATTGGTTTCCTCGATCATTGTTTGCTCTACCTCTGCCTCTATTGCCTCGTCCTCCTCTTTTGCTATGCATCTCTGTTGCCTCTACCTCTTCTTCCTCTACCTCGATCTGCTGATTGATTATGTGTCGTAGCATTGTTGTTAGTTGAAGCTTTAGGCTTGCTCCTCATGTCCTACTGGATCAACTTGTGCTCATGTACCAGTAATGAACCTTGGAGTTCATTAATTGAGAGCTGATCAAGGTCCTTTGACTCTTAATTGAACACACCACATAATTGAACTTTGGTGTCATCGATCGAAGTATTTTCTCGATTACTTTGTCATCTATCTTTTCACCATGAATCCGCATTTTGTTGATAATTGTCATTGTTCGTGAGAAAAAATCAGAAACCGACTCTCCTGGTTTCATACGGAGTAATTCAAACTCTGTATGGAGTGCTTAGAG